TATATACATATATTATGTATACATTAACTTTATATAAAATACCATGGTTAAAATATATATATATATATATATTTAAAAAAATAAAAATAATAAAATTTTAAAATAAAAATTATAATTTTAAATTAAAAAATTATAATTTTTTCCATCTTAACTAAAAGTGAAAAATTTCAACTCAACACGATGATATGACTCGAATTCGATACGAAAATAAATAGGTCAACTTGCAACTCGACACGACATAATTAGTTAAATGAGTTAAGTTAAGTTTGACTAATGTTCGACACAAATCCGTAATGACTCAACACGAATCTAACACGACACGACTTGATTGTCACCCCTAATCTTAGTCATCACAAAAAAAAAAAATTCTCATTTTTATTTTTCATCTATCCAAACAAACACAAAGGACAAAAAATGTATTCTTACTACTTTTCATCATTAAAGGATAGAAAAGTGTATTCCTCTTACTTTCTCTCATTTATACTTTTCATCCTGCTCACCAAACGGAGTACTAAACTTCTTGATGAACTCACACTAATAAATTCAGACTAGAACAAAAGTGAGATTTCTAGTTAAATTTTGGACAAAGTGTATAAAATTAGAAGAGAAAATATGGGAAGGATTTGTTAACAAAAACACATTACCGTTGATGAAGTACAATGATGGTTGTGTAATGCCAAGACACAACAGGCAGCCGACGTTTGACAGAGAGAGGCGAAGGGCGATAGTAAAAAGGATTTTCAAGAATATTTCGGATAGAAAATGACGATTGTAAATATGATTTTGAAGAAGCTTAACAGTCTTTTATATTAAACAAATTAATTATTAGGCTGTGTATAGCCACAATCAAAACATTAAAAGAAAGAGAAAATGAATGCTTAATTAAAATTTATAATGGGTAACTAATTTTTGTAATTGAATATATGTAATTAATTAATTTTGGGGAAAGAGAGAGATTGAGAGGGGGACGATGAAGGGAGGGTCCATGATGATGTGAGAGAGAGACTGAGAGGGGGGGACGGTGAAGGGCAACTTCCGCTTCTCTAATCTGTGAAAACGCAGGGGAGAAAGAAATAGAGAAAGACGGAAAGGAGAAGATGAAGAGAAAAGGCTATGAATCTGTAGAGGAGGGAGAGAGAGAGGGGGGGAGAGAAAGTAGGAGAGAATGTAACAATTGAGATTTAAAGCACAGATTTGCAAATTTAAGAGAGGAAATAGGGAGAGAGAGAAGAGGGAGAGAAAGTAGGAGAGATTAATGGGAACCAATTAACTCCAGAGGACATCGATGACATAGTTGTAATGTTAGAGGATATAATTAAAAAATACTAATTTTCATATATGCTTTTATTTTAAAGTAGTATAAATAGATATAGATTTATGGTGAATTTTATTTTACACATTGAAAGATTTATAATTTTTAAAGATTAAATTTTTTACATTGCGCCCTAAGAACTTGTTTGGTTGCCGTATTAGAAATGGAAGGATTAGATAAAATAATCCGGTCTAATACAATACAGAATGACAAAAGACAAGACTAAATAATGTATTAGAATAATGCGTAATTTTATTTACTATTTGGTAATACACAACATAAACGTTTGATATTAATTATTTAATCCAATCGGTTGTTTAGTTAAATAATTATTTTATCGTATTAATGTTGAATTAATAAAAATACACTAAATCAGTGTTTGTTATATTGATGACATTTTGATTTATCAGTTGGGGGGTTACAGTGACAAATGTGTAAAATAATACGTTTGAGTTGGATTATAATATCACCTCTTTTGGTGGTATTAAAAAACCTCCATAATTCAAGTCTAACGTATAAAAAATATACGATAAATATATGTTTTTGAAATTAATACGGTAACAAATTTGCTTACCAAATAAAATATTAGACCCAATTAAATAAAAAATAATACAATCCAATATTTAATCCTCTCATAATACGTTTACCAAATGAGTCCTAAATATAGTAAAAGTTATACAATATAGTCCATCGTTTTAGTTTCTGTTATCCATTCTTGACAATAGAGTGCTTCTTGGCTGAATAAGTAATAAAAAATAATAAAAATATCACATTATAATATTTTAATATATTGAAGGTATTATTCAAAGTATCAAATCTTTAAAAATATAAAATAAAAAATCTTAAATCTATCGAGGCGTTTAGTGCAATAGAAAATGATACACAATCAAAATAAAATCTAAAAAAGTTATCATTTGGACGATTGTTAAATGAGTGGATCTTATTGAAAAAATTGATGATATCCACTCATTAAACTGATGATATACATTCGAGTTGCAAATTTTTGGATTACATGATACGATTCCCCTTCCTTTTATTCACTATAGGGTTGATAATTGAGTCGAATTATTCGGGTTCGACTTGAATAAAATTTGATTTGAGCTCAATTAGTGTGTTAAATGAACTGAGTTTAAATAATTTTTTTAATTTATTTTTTAAAAAACTTAAGGCCTATTTGGTTTGCATTTCAGAAAATAGTATTTGAAAATAGTTTTTAAGAATAGTTTTAAGAAAGTGTTTTTAAAAAATTTTAGATTACAAAACCTGTTTGGTTATATATTTTTGAAAATAATTTTAAAGAATAAAAATTATAAAATTTGTTTGGACAATAATTTGCAATTCCCACCAATCGTCAACTCTCTCTTTCTCTCTCTCTCTTTCACTGTGCATCAAGACCATCACCACCACCGTCTCTTGAACTTTCACCGTGCATCAAGACTACAACCACCACCAACCCAAAACCTAAAACCACAACCAACCCAAAACCACCACCAACTGACAACCACCCAAAACCCACAACCACCACCCAAAATTCACAACCACCTCTGAAACCGAGAACCACCCAAAACCCATAACCACCACCGACCCACAACCATCCAAAACCCACAACCACCACCCAAAATGTCAAAAAAATCAAATCATATAAAAAAAAATAAAAAAATGTATTTGATAAAAAAAAAATCAGATCTATGTTTGATAAAAAAACATCAGATTTTTGTCAATATTCTAATTTTTTACGGTGGTTACAATATATATATACCGTCATTGATATGTGTTTTCGATCAGATCAGATCAAAAAAAAAAAATCAGATCTGTGTTTTCGTTGATTGAACTAAATCTGAACCAATCGTCGGAGAGCTCTAGTGTATGTGTGTGTGTTTTGTCAGAGAAGATGCAATCGTCGGAGAAGGCGCAGTCACTGAAGAAGACTTTCGTCTGAGAGAGTCTATGGAGAGAGAGAGAAAGACGGAGAGAATGATGAGATCTAGGAGGACACAGGCAAAAGAAAAAAAAAAGCTTTTATACTATGACTTGTTTTTGCTTCTAAGAGAACTCGAAAAGGGGACCTCATTAAAGAGTAAACTATCTCCTTGCTTTCAAAATTTTGGCAGAAAAGCTTGAAAATAAGCCCAACTTGTTTTCTAGTTTTATGCTCCAATTTTCTATTTTTTTTTAAAATTGGAGAACAAAATCACAAACCAAACAGGTTTTGAAATTTTTTGAGATTTGAAAACAAAAAACAGTTTTCAAAAATCAAACTAAACATGACCTTAGTTTCAGTTCGGGCTTAGGCTCGCAAAGATCAATTTATTTATATATAAAATAATTAAGTAATTCAGACTTAACTCATTTATACAAAAATTTAATTTAAATAATTTTTTAAACTCGCTCGACAAATTCGACTCCAACTCCGAAGGCTTATGTTGACATGGATGTAATATAAAGATTATCAGTCCTTATTCACCAGTTTTTTGAGTAAGAAAAATGATTAATCTCATTTTACATTCCGAAAGATCGTTCAAATTTTAATTTGCACTCTCAAAGAGCAAAAATCTCAATTTACATCCTCAAAAATATAAATTTGTATCAATGTGCACCCCCAAAAATCAAAAATCTCAATTTATACCCTCAAAGATAGAAATTTATATCAATATGCACCCCAAAGATAAAAAAATCTCAATTTACCCTCTCAAAGATAGAAATTTGTATCATTATGCACCTAAAACTAAATTGATAAATTATATCTAGATCCCCTCATGCTTGTCACTTAATCATTTGGACTTATTTACATTTAGAATATTACTCTTACATCTCATGACATTTGTGCACGTACAACATGTAACTCATTTTCATTGATATCTGTTAATATAACCGTTAAAAAATATAATTTTATCATAATAAAAAATTATAATTTCATATTACCCTTATTTTATGGGTCTAATATACTCCAAAGTTCAAAATTAAGTTTATTATTTGAATGTCTAATAAAATGTAGATATTTATATAATATTTTTCATATTTTCCTTTATATAAATATCTACATTTCTATTAAACATTCAAATGGTAAGCTTAATTTTGAACTTTAGAATATATTGAATCCACAAAATAAAGGGTAATATGAAATAATAGTTTTTTATTAGGATAAAATCATATTTTTTAAAGATTATATTAACAGATATTAACGAAAAATGGTTATGTGTTACACATGTACAAACATCATGAGATGTAGGGATAATATTCTAAATGTGAAGGAGTTCAAATGATTAAGTGACAAATATGAGGGGATCTAGGTATAATTTATCAATTTAATTTTAGGTGCACATTGATACAGATTTCTATCTTTGAGGGTATAAATTAAGATTTTTGATCTTTGGGGTACACATTGATATAAATTTTTATCTTTGAGGGTATAAATTAATATTTTTAATCTTTGAGGGTACAAATTAAAATTCTAACAATATTTCGTAATGCAAAATGAGATTACCCTAAAAAAAAAATGGCTTATGTTGACGTGGCACTATAGGATTTGCAGTCTAAGCCAGTCGGCTCATACATGACGTGGCATACGAATCAACACCGCAATTGGTTTCCTGTGGCTTCACAAATAATTGTGGGACCCCGAAAAGACGCCTAGCTGACATGGGTCATCCTGAATTAGGCGGTACAACTTCCCCGGACCCCAAACCGACTCTAAACACCGTTTAATAATCAAGTTTAAAATCCGTAGGGTATTCCCCTGCCCAGTATAAGTTCCTCGTGGTACCTTATCTTTCAATTTGCATCGGAGGCGTTTGTTGTTCGCAGATGGTTTTCTCTCTCCTCTAGAGTTATCTTTGTCTCTCTATCATCGCGATTCGATAATCTTTATATTCGAATTTAATAGTCGATCGAGTTTCTTGAAGTTTCGAGGCCGAATTAGGGTTTCGGATTGAGATTCCCCGGATTTTTCCCCTTTTTTTTTCACGAACAGACAATTAGGTTTTCAGATCTGTTCACGATTTTATCCATAATTAAAGGTTAAATTTCCAATGGCTAATTCTGAGAAGCAACAATACGAACGCGAGATCGATGAGTTGGATGGCGTAGATCGATACAACGGTGAAGGTTTCGATGATTCATCATCTGTTGTTGCCTCCTCGAGTGGTGTTGAGACCTCTGCTACACAGAATAGGGGTTCCGGTGGTGAGGTTAGTCTGACGGAGAGATTGACGGATATTCTTGTAGATAACGGGGATGGAGATCTGTTGCTACAACGGAGTGATCAAGAGGATAGGGTAATTCAGTGGCTTCAGGCTCTGGATTTGCAATTTATGGGAGCATGCCGTGCTGATGAGAGGTTGAAGCCTTTGCTGAAGTTGAATGTTTCAAGCGATGCCACCGAAGATCGGTTGGTAGCTCATCTAAGTCAGGTACATATCATGATCGATTTAAGCTTTGATTTGTGTGTATATGAGGGTGTACGTACATATATATGTAACGTTATGATCTCGCGGATGTTATTTGCGAGTTGTATTTAAAAATCTTGTTGCTAATCAAGAGATACGCTGAATTGTTTGGTTTTTAAATTCTTTGTTAGTTCGTTTAAAAAGGAAAGGAATAGTTTGATTAGGTTAACAGGGTCTTTGGTTGGGATTGAATTGGTTGTAATTTACGTTATAATTTTTAGATATTCTATGCACATTTTTTTTTATTTTTGCAATTTAACTGATTATATCTTACCTTTTTTGTGGTCATTTGAGCAGTATTTTGAACCATCAGAAGTTGCTATGCTGGCCAGATGCTTGTGTATTCCGCTTGTATCTATTCGTGTTGGAAAGATCAAGAAGCAAGGGACTCTCCTGTGTCCGACTGCTGAAAGGTAGTTGCAAATACTTGGACCCTTGCTTGTGGTTGTACATGTGTGATATTATTTATATTTCTCCTTTGCAAATTGCCTTGTTAAGATTTCTGATAGCAATATAAATAATTTTAGGTCTGAGGCTCTGATATTTGCCTTCGCTAGTCTGATATAGATGCCTGGTTATATGTGTAAGCGAGACCTAGCCAGGCTACTTGTGATTTCAATACTTTGATTTCAAAATAATAAACATGGATTAAATGGCCTGGATTTTGTTTTATAATTACCCGTGCACTGTGGTGGGTGGTTTTTCCCTGCCATTCTGCTGGATCTACCGTCCAATGAATCAAGACAAACTCTGTATTGGTGTTAAGGGCAAATGATATTTATAGATTATTAACAGTAATTTTAAAGATGTATAAAGTTAGTTTTATGTTGTTAGTTGCAATGGACATGTTTGTAGCGGAGTGCTAATAGAAACTTCTTGTATTTTATTTATATAACTGTATGTGCATTAACTTTTAGTAGAAATTATTATGTTGTATTTTGTTATGTGCATATCTATCATAAGTGCACATGAATCTTGGGCCATTAGCATTTAAGTATTGTTATGGTGCCTTCTAATTTTTATGATAACTTCCTTTATTCATACAAAACTTAGGATCTCTTGCTGTCTTTCCGGTGAGTTTGGATTATATTGCCCTTCAGGTGACCTAAAATACTGGCAAAATGTGTCTTTTGGATCTTTTCTCACTCAAACTTGTTTAAGGTGCATATCTTGAGTGTCTTGTACATGCAAATGTATTTGCATGACTTTGTACCACATTCTGGATTCTGTTTGAGTGGTATCAGACCTCTGCATCTTTAGATGAGACTGTTCTATCTATGAGGTGGATATTGACATGGGGAGACACTATGAAGGCTGCTATTAAATATGGTTTGTCATATTGGTTGTCCAGGAAACTTGGGATTAAGAAGTCCGTACATACATATGTGTAATCTGATCTTTGATTAATTTTGCAACTCGCAATTGCATGTCTAATGTCTTTTAGTGCTGATACGATTTATCTATGATTGCTATTGCTTTTGTGTCACCTTACTTGTATTTCTTCAAATTCATTTAGATGATGGTTTAATCTAACTGTTGACCTTTGCGCCTGTTTGAAATGTAGTTTCAATTTTAATGTGGCTGCAAAATTTTTCTTGTATTTGTCGATGATAACTGGAAATTGCAGGATGTTATATTTTGGCTTATTGATGGTGCCATGTTCATCCTTCCGAATAAATATATCTTTTGCTTGTAGGTAAACTGGGCGTATTCTAATATGATCTCTGAATTAAGACGAAATAAAGGTAGATTCATGCTCCTATATTATATATCTTACTCTGATTTGGATCATATAATTCTTTTTGCTATATGGGGTCTTTATTGTATTTTGTTTTAATGTAATTGTTTAAGGTCTGAATCATATGCAGAGATATATGGGGTCTTTATTGTATTTTGTTTCAAAGTAATTGTTTAAGGTCTGAATCATATGCATACCTTTATGTGTTCTGCAGAATATGTGTGTGCTCCTTTTTCTATTTTTTTTTTTTATTACTGTTAGCCATCTCTTTCTGGCCAGTTTTACTTGCTTGTTTTCTTCCCTGGGGATTACCAATCTTTTTATTTTGATATGGATTATTGAAGTTATCAATTGGTGCTTGGACTATCGATTTTTATTGATGTCAGCTGAATATTCTATCTAAGTCAATGACCCTTGGGTGTCATTTTCTTTATCTGAAGTGATTAAAAAATGTGGTCAGCAGTCAAATAAAATAAGTTGTCTTTTCATGGTATACCTTGAAATTAAATTAGTGAATGTTAGGTGTACTCTTACAATCATTTAATGGCGTGTGATTTTAAGGTAATCATGAATATATCTAATTTTTCAAATTGAAATTCCTTCATTTAAAGGGAGTTTACTACTTTAGTCTACTTTGGACCTGTACTCGGTGCTTGGTAATAGTGGTAAATTTACGATGTACGCACAGTCTATTATTTTCATTTAATCCATACTCTTAACAAGGCATGTGACGTCCTTGTTTTGGAGCCTGTGGAGAAGTTCTCTTTTGAGTTGATGGCATCATATGGTGAATCCAATGTGACTTTGCATCATTATGTAATGTGCATGCCTGATGGCTGACATTTTAGTGTAGCGTGGTTTGAATACATGATGCATTTGCCTTTATTAATTGCATCCTAATTAGACCCCATAAAGCAGCAACTAGTTTATAGTGAGATAAGAAAATATACCAAAACAGATTGACAATATTAAACATTACAACATAGTAGAAGATAGTAATAGCCTATTGATTTGAGGTCTGTCTTGGGAAATGGGAGTTTTGAGGCATAAGTTCATGGATGGTTGTAGCAATTCTGTAATAGGTAAATGGTATATAGGTTATCCGGAGAATTGAAAAAGGTCGTTTAGCTAATCTCATATTACCCTTAACTTTTTAAGACAGGTATCGGCATTTAATTTTTGGCTTGCAGAGAATGCTGCAAGTGGAGGCCTTAGCTTTTAGATGTTCCCCTCAGATTGCCAAATATGTGATACAACTTTTTTTTTTACTACTTAAAAGTAAATAAAGAAACCTTTACGCTTCTTGTTGTGGCTTGGTAGCACAGCACATAATTAGCTAGCCTATGAATGTTTGCCAGTCATACTTTAATCAAATGCATTGGCATGGAACATCATAGTGAGGTGTTCCTCTGTTCCATTTGTACCATCTTCATTTTTTGATGAAGCGTTACTTTTATTGTTTTGTTAGTTTATTGCAATCTCACTATTTGGTCCTTTTTCAATATTGTAACAGGGGGAATTTGATTCTGAATCTCTTGCCAACTTCCGATCTGCGAATCTCATTTGTCGGAGATGGTGGTCACACAGAAAGACTGTTAACCTTGAGTAGTGATTTGCAGTGCCCTTCTGTGGCTGTTGAAGGAATCCCAGGAGACAAATCTGGAAGATCGTTTCTGATAAAGGTCCCTGATGGGCACATTTTTTATTTTTGGTGCTCAGAAAAGTCAAAGCTTCTTGGGATTGATTTACTTGAAAAGGTGCATTTCCTCTTTTAAGAGTTAGTACATCCCTGTACATTTTGTATGCTCTGGATGTGACTTGTGCTTATGAAAATTTCCTTCATTTTCCGTCTCGTGTAGATGAAGGATTTACTTGAGAGGATGCCCTCCCTAGCTGAATTATCTGGTATTAGTGAGTCACGTCTTGACTGTTTCGCAATTCATCTCCGTGCGTATCTTGTCGGCTCATCAGTGATGAATACTCAAGCAAGTACAGTTATCTCAACAATTGCTTTCCCGAATGCCTCATTGGACTCTTCTGAACGTGGTCAAAGTGCTCTATCCTCATCAGCGTTATCGAAGGCTTCACGTTCTCGACACTACAGCAATCAAGGAACGAAGCCGAATTCACTCTATCAGGGTAGCCTCAGCCCTAGATCAAGTTCCTTTAAAGAGGGTCAGCCCAGAAACTTATCTTCCTTGAGAACCGTTGCCAGAGAGAAGTATAGACGGCGCGAGGATAACCAGCTTACATATATTGACAGCCTTTCTACTTCTTCATTGAGCACTGCGGGTGCATCTATATCAAATCATTTGGATGAAGACAAGCTTCCAGGTGCTACTGGAAACTGCCTTTTCCCTCCATCGAGTTTTCTGGAGTCACTTGGGAAATTGTCTGATCCTCCATTTCCAAGTCTAGAATCCCGTGCTCCTTCTACAGGTTCCCCCTTTTTCTCTCCTTACTACTGCTGGTGTCCTCCTGTTTCACCATCTTTGCAATACACAGTAGCATGTTCACAGCCACCTATCTCCTTAACTGAATCACTATCTTTACCACCACTTTCTTCTCTACTGCCAGTCCCTAGGTCATCTTCTTTGTTGGCACCGAAGCTGCCTTTTAATTTAGCTGAAGTTCCCTCTCTGGATTTCCCACCTTTCCTTCCTGAGCCACTGGGCAGGTTACCATTGTCTATGTCAAGTTCTCAACAGATTCCAACCTTCACGCCTCTAATGTGTGATTCCATCGTTCATGTTCCTTTCATTGATGTTTGCTCCTCAGGTCAGGGGTACCTGGTGAGTGCAGGACCTGCTATATCAACCGCAATTCCACCACTGCATCCAAATCTTGTGAACCCATTGATTCCCGAAACTGAATCTGTGGTGGAGAAGGGTGCAAGAGAGACTCTAAGGCTTCTCATAAGTAGTTCTAGCCAGGCCAACCCACAGTTGTTGGATGTGTTGCCTTCTGTTCTGACCCATATTGATGAGAAAGGAAGTATGCTTGCTGCTGGCAGTAGGGGGTTGTATACTGGAACCACGGATGTTGCTGCTTTTGCGAACAGCATTGCAGCTATGGGGTTGGTCTCGCTGTCTGAGAGATCTGACACTGGTGGTTTGATGAAGACGTGCTTTAGTCGGAGTGATCTGGTTGACCAATTGGAGAAATCAGGTGGCTCTGATGGGGCATGTTCAGACGATGATGACAAAGTTGAGGGAGGAAAGGATTGATCAATTGGTTGATTGAATAGTTTTCTTTCTTTTTTGCTACCTTTTTCGATCCAGTTTTTGTCCAGAAAGTGTAGATATGTGGCTGTAGTTTTTTGTATGTAATTAATTTCAACTCATCCATCCATGGGTGTTGTGCTTTGATTCCTTTTGTTCATAGTTAGAATGTTAATGTGTTCTGCTATGTACCTCTGGCTGTTTATATTCGTACTCTCTTTCTAGTTCTTTAACAGCTTTAGCACCGACTTTCTTGCATTCTTGCTGTTCTCTTGTTCTGTTTGTGGGCTGTCAACAGGGTTTAGCTCCTATCTTTGTTCAGCTCATGTGCTTTTGCCAAAACAACTTGTGTTACTTACAAAAGAGCATCATTCATAAGGTGATGCAACCAAGTTGTGTGATCTTGTGGAGTATTGGAATGGTGCATACAAGCATCAAGAAGCCTTTAAAAGCTGCCATCAAAGAAAATTGTCTCTGATCCTTCTTGAAATTGGAAATAACGTGCAATAATTTAATGAGAGAAAACCGAATATGAATTCAACAGAGAGAGAGAGAAACTGGCAGTGTGTTATAAGACTTGTGGATTGGTATGTTCAGATTGCGCATCTAGATCTCCAAACATGTGTATTTCTTTTTTTATCTAAAACTTGTATAGACTATTTCGAGTTTAGTAGCTGTCATTGTAGCTTAAGCTGTGTGTTAGAACATGTTCTTGAAGAATAAAAATAACTAAACCTTAGGAAGCGTGAGTAAAGATTGAATCTAAGTTTTCTGAATTTTTAAAAGTTAAACTTAACCACTAAATTGACATGTGTATTTATACACTGTTCCACCATTTCAAACGAATTGACACAACCGTTGACAAAATTGTCTATTATTACCATCACAGCCAGTTCCTACTCTTTGTTCTCTCTCCTCGTGCACGAGAAAATGTTCGTGGAGGATCACAGACTCGCGGAAAGAGGCAAAAGACGAGAGGGAAGGACGCTGAACATGACAGTGTAAGACAATACGATTTTTTAATGGCTTCTGAGCAGTGGAAATTAGAGACGAAAAATGTTTTGCATACCAAAAATATTTTTACCAAATGAGTTAAAAGTTCTTAATCACTCCTGGACTCACTAATTGGTGGTCAAACTATTTTTAATTGAATATAGATTTGTCAATTCATTTAATAAAAATACGTTTAGGTAAATATTTTAGTAAGCATAATATTACTTATTAGGGAAAAGGTTTGTACGAAAAAAAGGGACCAAAACAATAAATAAGAAAGGCGCCTGCCTGGGCCTCTACGTGCCCATGAGGTAGGAGTGGGGACCAAATTCAATATTCAGTTGTCTTCTGTGTCGAAAGTCACAAAATGGCAATAAGCAGGAATCCAAATATCCAATGAGGAACATCATCCTCATGTGGATCTAAACACACACACACACACACACATTTGTATTTATGTATGGAAGCATATATGCAAGTATGCATATATGACAACCGCCCTATGACCACTTGTGGAGTTTATTACAGGAAAAAAAAAATGAGCAGGGCATATCTACTTGCTGCATACTGACTAAATCAAAACTTTGCTCACGAGGAGAGAGAGAGAAAGAGACACATTCAAGCTGCAGGAGGATAATTATGCCTGCTGAAATTGTTTAATGGATGAATTAAACACTATCCAAAATAGCAGCATGGTAGTAAATTACTGAGAATCTGCAGGCGATTTTTTTTTTCCAGGATAGTGTAGGCAAAAGTTGGTAACTAGAAAAAAAAAAAGAGATAGTATAGTGTATGTTAGACTCTCCCACTGCGGGTTCTAAAAAGGATATAGAGTCTTATACCTCATGTAAAAAGGTTGTTTTTATGATTCGAGCTCACATAATTAGATAACAATTGAACAACTTTACAAGCAAGTCAATTGTCAAACACGTGGATAGCTTGTCTTTGACTGGATCGATAAGAAAATTAGTCGAGCTGCACGTAAATTGGCTCGAACATTCTTGACCATTGAACCAATTTTTTTTTTTGGTCAAACCCACCTTCTAAAAGTAAAAAAAAAGTTAAAAAAAACTCTGTTCAATGAAAAAAGAAAGCAGAGGAATCAAAAAAATGCCTCAAGGATAACTCTTGAGCTTATGTATATCAAACTCACCATTCATCTCTCCTTTTGCCTTTCCTGGTTTCCCCATAAAAGCATAGCAAGGAATGGATGGAAAAGAAGTGAGAAAGAATATAACCTTTTCACCCGGGATAAGTTTAGGCATGCCTAAATTAGTTCGAATATCTCTGATAGTTAAATTAGAAAAAAGAAAAAGAAAAAATAGAGTATGCACAAAAAGAATTTAATAATTTTTATTTTCTATTCATCTTATTAAATACAAAAGAAGGAAAGTGTATCATTTATAATTTCCTTTCTTAAAGGATAAAAAGTTTATCCCTTTGATTTACCATCCCTCTTTTCATTTTTCTTACCAAACGAAATATAAGAGAAAATTTAAGTAGTAATAAAAACGAGTTTTATTATACGTCTTGAATTTAAATCTTGACAATCTTTTTGGGTCAAACTATGAAAGATTTATTCTCATGAATAATCTAGTGTTGATATGAATGACTTACCTTTAACTAAATCGAAAAAAAATTAATTAAAATATATGTAAACTAGCCTGGACTCTCGGACCATTTTTAAAAAAAAGAAAAGAAAATATGTATGCAAAGCTAACCGAGGGAGAGGAATCTAGTGGTGCTGTGGGACAAGAAATTTTAGGACCAGGTTGAGGGTACTACGCTAATGGATAATGTTGAAAAGTTTGGGGCCCCTGAAGGGACCACCCTAAAAAGTTTTGCCTAGGGTATGACTTTGTATGTTTCCTCAATGTGGGACCAATCGCTCTACAAATTCTGTGATCGTTTTATAGTCTGATAGACTTTGTCATGCACAAAATTCCCATTGTATATGCTTTGTATATCAAGCCTACAAGAAGCACAATGTCACCATTCAATGTATATGGTGTCTACATCGGGTCATTATCAGATCTAGACACCATTCAATCGTAAACCATATTGAGAATTTTAGACATATCGGTCATAGCAAAGGGTTGATTATTACAATAAAAACGAGCCATCTTGCCGGGTTGCAATTAGTATCGATCGACTTAGCAATGTTGTCTCAGATGACTTAGTGTTCAGAGACATCTAAGACAAATCGATCGAGTTGCATGAAACTCGTTTACATATAATATGAATCGACAACAGACTGAAAAGTGCATAGTCGAATATAACTCGATTGCATCGTTTTAATAATATTAGTTGATACTTTAAACCTTACATTCGATACTTTTTTTTTTCTCAGTGTATCTAATTATAGATCATGCGCGTTGTATTGGTTGTTGAGCTACATCTATGGTAAATCCTACTAAAATTCTTTATTTGACATTGAAAAAATATAAAGAAATTATAATTGCGGAATCCAATTCCGGTGGTCGAGTTTGTTTCTTCTATTAACTAGGGGTGTTAAGAGAGATATAAATGGCACAAATATAATCTTTGACATTATAGGCACAATGAGCTATCCTCATATTCGAATTAACCCTCGAGCTGACAGTTATTGTCACACATTATTGTGGGTCAAGTAGAAAAGCAAATCACTTGCTTGACACATATTATTGTCCCATGTATGGAGCAAACTTGAGTAGGACTAGATTTTGAAAATGATTTTGCTAGGACGAATTCTGGCAATAGAAGAGGATAATGATACTGAGGTGAATCCAACGGGAGAATTGTTGGAGAAGGTGAATGGTGATGGATTTACAACCACCGAATCACTTGTCCGCCAAACATTTTTGATTGGCTAGTCTGTTCTGTCATCTTTTTTAAAAATCCTCAGGACCAAGTATTGAATACACCCTCTTGTTGAGGCGTCCCATGATTGGTCTCATTACTCAGAGATGACACTTTTACATCTAATCTCATGTGTTCTTGTGTCTGAACGACACGTAGTTGACATTCTCATCGACGTCGTCTATTCCTTATCTTTTTAGTTAAATCTAATGATATTAGTGAGCTCAACTGTCGTGTATCATCAATGTTTGGGTCCGAGCATTGAATGGTCCAATAAATCAATAAGTTCTTTCCAAGGCTGGAACACATGGACAATTGCATCTCTGATAGAGAAAGGTTAAGGTTTGATTAATGACTGCCTTAGATGACGGTTAAGCCTTGATTTTTTTTCATACCAATTGTACCCAAGGGGATAAAAGAAACAAGTGTTCCACTGTTTCCTCTTCCTCACCACATACAGGGCATGTAGGGGTTTTCACAAGTTTCCTCTTCCATAAGGCTCATTTCGTGGCCACAGCTCCGTTTGCCATTTTCCATACATAAGATTGGATTTTTGTGGGTGTCTTAATTTGTCATATCAACCTCCATAATTCTTTGGGTGGGTTATTCTCACCTCATAAATTTTTTTTTTAATTGTTTTTAATTTTTTAATTTCAAATTATTAAGTTTATTCCATTTATACCCGTCCCATTACTTATTAAACTCACTCCATCTATAATCACTAAATAAAAACTAAATTCATTCATCCCATTTTATTTCAACCTACTGTAGAGATAATGATTAAAATTTTGTTATGGTGCACTATTATGGTATCAGAACGTTTCAGAAACAAATGAAAAACAAATAAAAAAATTAATAATTTATTTCCAAAATATTAGTCGAAATATCTTAAAACAACTGAAAATATTTTAAAAAATATTGGTAAAAATATGTCAAAATATCTCAAAATACCGTAAAATATTTTAGATCACCACAAAACATTAAAATTTTGCTTCAATTACCTTTTCGTTTCAACTTACTTGTCATTCTATAAATCAATGAAACCCAAAACCCCCTTCTGCTTTTCTTTTTGTGAGTAAGCCCCAATCTTTCTAGTGTATGTCTCTTTCCCCTAAGCCTATACTATACTCCAACAAAACTTTCATAGACTCGAATCAAAGTTCAGGTTCTTCCTCTTCCTCAGCCAATTCCCGACCGTCTATGCACAAGTTGGGATGGCTTGGACGACTACTTTAATTAAATACTTTCTTACCCACCTAATTTAGTAACTATATTCCTTCTGACCCGAAATTTTAATGTGAATTCTTTCCTTCATCCATGCCAATGTAAACTTTTTGGATCTACCCCATTCCGTGGGGAGTCCCAAGTATAAAAGGTACTCAGCAATTGACGGCATTCTTAGTCAAAAGATGTTACCCTGCATCTTCCTAACACCATCGTCATTACATAAAAAAAAAGTCATGCTCAATGCCCAAAACTCCTATTTATGACAGAGTTTGAAAAGTATAAACGGCAATCCTTATTTTTAAAAGGTTGTTCTACAAATTCAACAAAAAATTATCAAAATTAATTGACTTTACCCATCACAATATTTTTGAAGAGAAGTGAGACTTACGTGCTCTTTCTATGTCTTCCACTAATTTTAGAAGAAAGATAAGGTTTAGTTTATAAGTCATGGGACAACTTCTAAATTATAAATTATAAGTATCGATTAAATTTGAATTTTATACGTAAAGAGAATTTGAACGAGAGATTTATTCAAAATCCCTAAGCAAGCCCATGAGGGTTGGTTGAAACAAAATTGACAAATGTAGGAAGAGATATAAAAGTTTGGTGGGAGCAAACACGTCCTAGTCACTTTCAAAGGGAGTTGTAGTTAACTTACACGTGCAGGAGGAGAGAGACCATGTTGTGTCACTTGAGGACAAATTTGTACGGAATTCGGTCACAACATTATCTTTAATCGTGTAGGATCGATCAAAAAATTGACCTCAGAAGATTGAATACAATATTTTTTACCCATCGGTTCAGATGAACAATCCTAGTTATAATCGATCGCAAATTATCACAAAATTGGTAATTTAACTTGGAAAAATTTTCAATTTAAACCCTTTAAAGTTATAACTTGATCTCCAAAAAAAATAATTTTTAATTATAAATAACTTATAAAATTTATATCAAAACCCATCAAAATTATAAACTTTAGATCTACAAAGCCGAAATTAAATGTTTTGGGTGTGTAGGGTTTTCATGTCACATAGACAATCAACCTTATCTTTTATTTAGCTGCAGTCCACTACACTCTTAAATTAAGTGGGTCAGTCACAAAGCTTTACAAATTATGTCGTCTTCCTAAAAGAAAGTTATCAAGTATATTTATAAAGAAATTTTATTTTACACCTCCAAACATTGAAGAATTTTTATTTTATATTTTCAAACATTAGATTTTTTATATTATATCCTCAATATATTAAAATTATTATAAAGTGATTTTGTTGTTGATTTCCATTGCTCATTGTGTCAACGCCAATGAATAACGTAAGTTAAAGACAGAGACACGTTACAATACTTTTAATATATGGAGGGTATAATATAAAAAATATAATATTTAAGAGTACAAAATAAAACTTCTTAAATCTTTTGAGCGTAAAATATAATTCGCCTTATAGTCANTAATATTTAAGAGTACAAAATAAAACTTCTTAAATCTTTTGAGCGTAAAATATAATTCGCCTTATAGTCACACATAACTCGGTTGCATTTGTCATGTGGCAAGCCTAATTGTTTCAGGGTCAATACATTGCATACCAGACCTCCGAGGAAGAGAACGTTTAGAAGAAAAGAAATAGACACTACACGAGTTGAAAAATGATGTGAATAATTCAAATAAATGACAAGTATATGAATTGGTATCAAACACAATAAACGATATTGACATAAAAAATCCGTTTTACTTGTAAGGAAGAAATGTGTTATTCTTTCTTAATTTTTAGTTTGCGATCTAGTATTGTATGTATTGTTTTACTAAATGGTTTTTTATTTAATATTTAGTAGTAAATGGATCAAATAAATGCGGACCTCTTTTAGGGATTTGATGTGTTTTTCCACAATTTTAGAGGTTCTAAATATGTTAAACTTAACCCGCACAGATAGTTTAGCAATGTTGGATTTGACTTAGTCGAGTCGTAGATTGAAAGGTCAAATGTTCGACCCTCACTAATTATTACTTGTGATGCAAAAAAAAAGAAGCTTGAAGTGATGCTAAAGATGAGGATTTTGGAGACAAGAAACATACTGCTCTTAAATTGGATAATGAATAGCATCTTAATTAGGATAGTGGGTGTTGGGATCCACCACTTAGATTCCTAATTAATAATTTTCTTAGCCAAATTTGGAAATTAGATAGGCTACTAACATAAACTGTTATTGAGGAGTCACTTCAACTGTTTTTAAGATTCCAGGTAAAAGAATAAAAATTTCATCTTAAGTAATGGTGAAAATTTTCGACTCAACACGATAATACGATTCGAACTTGATACGAAAATAAATAAGTCAACTCATNCATCTTAAGTAATGGTGAAAATTTTCGACTCAACACGATAATACGATTCGAACTTGATACGAAAATAAATAAGTCAACTCATAACTCGACACGACACAATTAGTTAAATGAGTTAAGTTAGATTTGACTAATATTCGACACAAACTTGTAATGACTCAACACGAATCTAACACGACACGACACGACTTGTGATCTCTAATCTTGGCTAGTACCAAAAAAAAAAAAATAGTCATTTTTATTTTCCATCCATCCAACCAAACAAAAAGGAAAGAAAGTGTATCCCTCCTATTTTTCATCTTTCCTACTTTCTATCCTCCCTACCAAATGGAGCATAAGTGATTATGTGATAAAATTGAACTTAAATTATTAATTATTTGATTAATCAATTTAAAATATTTTACTTAGTTCATAACTATTTGGGCCCTCATAAAAAATTCATGTCTTACTGTGTCCATCCCCGCATGCAATTATTTTAAAACTATACACGAAATTATTTCTCAAACTATTATTGTTTCTATAAAAATATGACTTTCGATGTAAAGTGTATTTATGGAATACAATTTTAATAAAAAAAATTATACTGCAAAGTATAGGTTTAAACTAAGCTTTATGAAAATAGTTGTAATTTGATAAATAATGATCAAAGTGGAGGGAGGAATATGTTTAAAATTAGGGTAATTTGAGGAAAAAAATAAAAAAATAAAGAGACTTAAGCACTTGATTGGATCACATTATGACCAGTTGGCATTTTTTCTAAAGAATTATTGACAGTCTGAATAGGAAGTTTAAGCACTTGATTGCTTTAATTGATAGTTTAGGGAACAAATAAAATAAGGTTAAACTTTGGGTGCAATACATAATTTACTGTTTTTTTAATCTCAGTTTGAATCAACATATTTATAGCACCCTCACTCTCACTCTCACTTTAGGGTCTCAGATTTGGCACTATTTCTCATGCAAATTACTTCGTCGATCTCTATCTTCCCCGATCGTCGGAATAGTTCTCCATCGTCGGAATAGTGCTCCGATTCTACTCTGCGTTTCTCTTTCTTGCTTTCTTAGCCACTGGTTGAAGGAATTCGCAGACAGAGAGAGAGAGAGAGAGAGAGAGAGAGAGAGAGATTTTCTGCAAACGCAAGTCTGAAGAAAAAGAAAGTCTATCTGAAGCTAAGTTCCTTGAAAAGGAAAAGAAGTCCTCCAACCGTTTCGTTTGTATGCCACTTCAAGATTAAACTCATCAGTTTGTTTTTCAAGAATTTCGTGTTTGTTCTACTTCTTAGAAACTGAGGCATGGAAGATCGAAACTGGAGGAGGATGTGTGCAAGAGCATCGGATGATACAGTCTTCCAGTGTGTGATTCCGTACGTTGACGACGCTTGTGACCGGGAACAGGTGTCTTTGGTGTGCAAAAAGTGGCACGAGATCGATGCACAAACAAGAAAGCACGTAACAATCGCGCTGTCTTACACAACGACGCCAAAACGGCTCTCGAGGAGGTTTCATCGTCTCGAATCGCTAAAATTGAAGGGGAAGCCGCGTGCGGCGATGTTCAATTTGATACCGGAGGATTGGGGAGGGTATGTGACATCTTGGGTGGAGGAAATTGCAAGGTCTTTTAGCCAATTGAATGCGCTTCATTTCCGGAGGATGATTGTTACGGACTCGGATCTTGAATTACTTGCTCGATCGCGTGGTACCGCTCTTCAAGTTCTCAATCTTGATATGTGCTCTGGGTTCTCTACAGATGGGCTTCTGCACATTTGCCGGTCTTGCAGGTAATCTTACAAGTTTCGTATTGTTGTGGTCGATTATTTTTTATTTGTCATTAACTTTTACACTAGTTCCTTGATCTATGCACAAGATTTAACATCTTACGCATAGTTGCAGTTCTTTAATGTTTTACAATTTATTTATAAGTGAATGAGAAATCTGAGTAAGGGTCATTGCCCATGGAGCAGTACACGGAATACACATTTTCAATTTCACATTATTTGTAAAAATTGCAGAGACTTGATTCATAATCCCCAAGCTTCCGAATAAAAGTCCATTGAGATTAGAAGCTTGTCAAACAAAAGGGAGGAAGGTTTCCTATCGAAAATGAAAAGGGAAAAAGTTAAGTCTGCTGAAAATATTTTCAGGAAAAAAATTCCATCATAACTAAAGGGAATTTTATTTTCGAATTATCAGAATGTTTTTGCCTGCCTTGATTACTCATTCCCGGTCTCCCTCTTTCCATTCTGGCCATGTTCTTTGATGTCTAAATTTGAATATCACTCCTCTTACCGTTTTCTCTGTTAGTCTTTTCAACAGTTGCGATTATTTTGATGTTCACTAGACACAGGCTCACATAATTTTATTCATATATGGCTGGCATATTGTTCCAAACCGTTTTCTTTTGTATTTTTTTTATTCAGTTTTTGTTGTGTTGATGTCTTTGATATTTCATTTTTGAGTAAACTACACAAATGACCTTTAAACTATAACCCTTGTGTCAATTAAGTTCTTGAACTAATTTTTATGTCAATTAAGTCTCTAAACCCTAACATTTTAGCAATTAACCCCATCAACTAATTTTCATATTAATTGAGTCTCTAAACTTTAAAATTTTAACAGTGAAGTTCTTTTGTCAATAGTTGTTAGATTTTCAGATGACATGTCTCACATGTTCACCACATAGACAACAAATCTGAGGTATTTTAGACTACTTGTTCGAAACCTATCAAACGAAGAACTTCATTCCTTATAACCATCAACTGAAACCTTAAATCTAATCCTCTTTCATACCCATCAAACAAAGTAGATCAGCAAGGTCTTTGAAGAGCCTACATTTATGTAATTTGTTTTCTATATCAGATCGTAAAGTTTGTTGATCTGCATCGTTTGATGGATATGAAAGAGGTTTAGGTTTAGGGTTTCGATTGATGGGTGTATAAGGAATGGGTTCTTCGTTTGATAAGTTTTGAACGAATAGTCTAACATACCCCTAATTTGTGTGATGAGCACGGGAGACATTCCATCCAAAATCCTAACTATTGTTGATAGAAAGGCTTAATTGCTAAAATTTTAGAGTTTAGGAGCTCAATTGACACGAAAATAAGTTTAGGGACTTAATTGCTAAAATTTTTAATTTTAGAGGCTCAATTGACATGAAACTTAGTTTAACGGTTTAATTAACACAAGTGTCATTTGTGTAGTTTAGTCTTGATTTTTTATGATTCATCAGATCTGGATATTTCAAGGAGGAACTTCATGTAACTAATTGGAAATGTAATTATGAGTCATTTTTTTANTAATTAACACAAGTGTCATTTGTGTAGTTTAGTCTTGATTTTTTATGATTCATCAGGTCTGGATATTTCAAGGAGGAACTTCATGTAACTAATTGAAAATGTAATTATGAGTCATTTTTTGAAAGCTCGTGAAATACTTGGTGGTTATATTTTGGGAAAATTGAAAGGGGTACACAAAATTAGAGTTAATTGTAAAAAAAATATATAGAAAAAAATATAGGGTAAAAAAGTCCTTAATTTTGATACTTATTTGTCTCAAAGTACATTATTTAAAATTTTCATATTTTCTTCTGACCTTTATATCCTCCCTGATTCATGTGTATTTTTTTGGAAAGTGGTGCATTAAACATCTCCTTGTTTTATGGGAGAACTTTAATATTCCGTATTTTTATGTCCTCCCTTGATTCATGCGTATTTTTTTTGAAAAGTGGTTTTGTTTTCAAATTATATTTAATGCACTTTAATCCATGAGTATTTTGTTTTGAAAAGTGATTTTGTTTTCAAATTATATTAATATCTGAACTCTATAACAGTGTAACAAGACATTTACATAAAATATTGTATGATTAAATTTTGTCAAATAATATAATTTCATTCAAAACAGTCTAGCTCTGTGTTAAATTTGTTACCACTTGTACAAAACGACCGAACATTGTTTTTGTTACAGTATATTGTTACACTGTCTTTGTTACAATNTGTAATTATGAGTCATTTTTTGAAAGCTCGTGAAATACTTGGTGGTTATATTTTGGGAAAATTGAAAGGGGTACACAAAATTAGAGTTAATTGTAAAAAAAATATATAGAAAAAAATATAGGGTAAAAAAGTCCTTAATTTTGATACTTATTTGTCTCAAAGTACATTATTTAAAATTTTCATATTTTCTTCTGACCTTTATATCCTCCCTGATTCATGTGTATTTTTTTGGAAAGTGGTGCATTAAACATCTCCTTATTTTATGGGAGAACTTTAATATTCCGTATTTTTATGTCCTCCCTTGATTCATGCGTATTTTTTTTGAAAAGTGGTTTTGTTTTCAAATTATATTTAATGCACTTTAATCCATGAGTATTTTGTTTTGAAAAGTGATTTTGTTTTCAAATTATATTAATATCTGAACTCCATAACAGTGTAACAAGACATTTACATAAAATATTGTATGATTAAATTTTGTCAAATAATATAATTTCATTCAAAACAGTCTAGCTCTGTGTTAAATTTGTTACCACTTGTACAAAACAACCGAACATTGTTTTTGTTACAGTATATTGTTACACTGTCTTTGTTACAGTGTATTGTTACACTGTTTTTGTTACACTATTACTTAATGAATTTGTTACGTTTTTGTTACAGTGTAAATAATTTTATATTTCAAATTATATAAAAAAATAATTAATAAATTTTGAAATTCAAACAAAGTGATATATCCTAATACAAACAAAATATCAAAGTTCTCCCATAAAATTAAGAGATATTTAATGTATAAATATAATTTGAAAACAAAACTACTTTTCAAAAAAAAAAAAAATACGTATGAATTAAAGTGTATTAGATATTTCGAATTAAATGACCATAAATTTCAGCACTTAAGATAAATGCCTTGTTACAATTTTTAGGAAAGAAAATTTTGCAAAATGGGCATTTACGTCTTTGTATCTCAGTTGTATATTTTTTTCCAAAATATTTTGTTCTATATACTTTTTTATAATTATGTCTTATTTGGTGTACCAGTTTCCAAAGAAACCTTATATTTTATGTTTGATGAAGTTGAATATATTTTAGGAGTTNTATACTTTTTTATAATTATGTCTTATTTGGTGTACCAGTTTCCAAAGAAACCTTATATTTTATGTTTGATGAAGTTGAATATATTTTAGGAGTTATGTATCAGGGTAGTCCATCAATTTTGACTAAAGGCTACCAATGTTGTCTGGAATATGATTGGCTTTTTTAATGAGCGCGTATTTTTGTACAGTTTGTAAGATTTAGAAGGTCCAGTGGGATTTTTATACAGTAATTGAAGCGTTTGCTTCTAATTTTACACAAGTTTATTTGTCCACCAAATCCTCTTGTTCAGCAAGTTTTATTCACCTCTATGTGGATATGGTGATTGCATTATTTTCAAATTACTATTATTGAAGAAGATCTTTACTCTCATATGTTTGGTGTGTGCGGCTTAAGAACGTGGATATGACTCTTGAGATTTCCTTTTAGTCTCTTTCTTGGGAGGCCTAGGCCTCTTCGTCGTCCTTCTTAGAGGTGCAACTCAGCCAGGTTGGATGAGTCAAGAGGTCAGCTTAGGCTCAACTCACCTTCAAAAAGCTTCAATTCGAGTTGATCCCAAACCCTTTAACCCAAGTACTGTCCATACCTAGAGTTTTTGAACTTGTGTCAAAATTATATTGCACAACTCAGGTTGACATTCAGGTTCAAGAAGAAGAGTTAATTTTTGCTGCAACTAGCTAGTTTTTGGACCTATTCCTATCTTACTTATCTATAGTTGTATCTGATTGCAGATTGCACTAATTGTGGCATATTATCATGCAAATATGTTGTATCCCTTGCCCTATAGTGGAATATGATATCTGCAAGCAATTTACCTTAAATGCNTGCACTAATTGTGGCATATTATCATGCAAATATGTTGTATCCCTTGCCCTATAGTAGAATATGATATCTGCAAGCAATTTACCTTAAATGCACACAATTTTTTTCAGTTTATGACATCTGAGGCTTCATAAAAACCGTAATTGAAATTTTGCAAGGACTCTCCTTGAATGAATAATTCACATAGGATTTGTTTTTTATATAGGTAAACCCAATTGATATTGATTTTCTTTTTTTGTGGTGAATAGGGGTTTTGAAGGTTAAAAATTTAAGAATTGGTATGATGAAGGTAAAAATATGAAGATAATTATTTTACAAGTGGCTGACTATACCAAGTTGGGTTTTGAAATGGAAAGCCAACTAGTGACTATGTTGTAAGCAAAGAATTAGGGTTTCGATTAAAAAAGTGAGAATAAGAATGAAAACGAAGAGTCTCCTGATTGTTTGTCATGTCAATGGAGTTCAGAACTGTATCATGATTGTGGCTTGTCATGGTTGACTGGATTGTCGGTGAGATTGCATTGCTTGATGAATGCTATAAAAATAATATTGCTTTTCTTTTTCTTTTCTTCCTTCCCTCTTCTTTACCCCCAGGCAGGGTGTTGAGGATCTCTAATAACAGGGACTTCTGGTTTTCCAGAGTCACGCCTATTGTCTGTGTATTTAGGTGATGATAATTAAACTTTGGGTTGAGAAGAACTCAACCTTGAGGCAAGATACCAACAAAATATTTGGGTGTTTTCCTAAATAAATGCCTGATGGAAAGGTTTAGAGAATAAGAGAAGACCTTTACATGGAATTCATAAACTGATAGTGTAAAAACATGGTCGTGGAGAAAAAATATGCAATTAGTTTTATGAGATAATGTAGCAGATTCAAGGACTTGTTTCATTCAACTTTCAAGTGAATAAAATTAAACAGAAAATAGACTGGGGAGAGGGGGGATGGGTAAGGGCAATCCAATCTGGTGTACATATGCTAGACCTGAATAGGATTGTGCTTAAAGGTACCCCTATATGATTTTGTTAATGATATAACTAACCTTATTTGGCTGGTACTAGACCTTTAAAGAATATGTTATTTGTTATCGGCACTGTATTAAATGCAAATACACGTGTAGAGCTAGAGATCATCGGTTAAAGCAGTTGGTTAGTCATGCCTCGTAAAACCTTTCGCCATCCTTAACTGACCACTTCCTTGCCAGGCGCGAGCACAGCAGTCACAAACCATAAGAATTAACTCTTGATATTATCCTTTGCTTTTAGATGTTCCTTAGGCAAAGGTATTTATCTATACTGCCACCTATATTTCTCTATTAGCAAAAGTGGGCTTATGGAACAAGAAGTTGGGTAAGGTTTTGTCAAGTCTACATTCCTGATTTAGGTAACTTGGGCAATCACAAATATGTCCCTCAGATCCGCAATGTGGTTGTAAATAGTGAAGCATGTTTGCTAGAAATTAACACCATGGACACAGTTGCATTTGCAGGGTTGGAGAGGCCCATTCATGATGTTCAGATGCATGATAAGGCACACAAAATAACACCGATGGTGCATCTGAGCATCATGGGTTAAAGGTCAAGACCCTGGCATAATTTATCGTCTGAGAAATTTTTCAAGTGTATCGTCAACAAACAAGCTGTTTTTTGCATTGTTGATTTTGTAGATGTGATTGCAGAAGTCTATTGAATCCCGTGCTTAGTATGTCGATTTAGGTTTGTTTTTTTATTTTGGGTTTTTTTTTTCTTGGTTTCTAAACGTGTTTGTACTTACTGCAGCAATATAAGGACACTGTTTTTGGAAGAGAGCACAATTGCTGAGAAGGATGGCAAATGGCTGCATGCACTCGCTTTGAGTAACAAATCTCTTGAAACTTTAAATTTTTACCTGACAGATCTCAGGCAAGTCAATTTTCAAGACCTTGAACTCATAGCCAGAAATTGTAGCTCTTTAGTCTCAGTGAAAATCAGCGACTGTGATATTTTGGAATTAGTTGGTTTCTTTCGAGCTGCGGCTGCACTAGAAGAGTTTTGTGGGGGTACCTTTAGTGTGCAAGGGGATGGTGAAGATGCGTCTAATAGGCATTTACGTGCGTACTCTGCTGTACCATTTCCACCATTATTATGCCGTCTGGCCTTAACATATTTGGGGGAGAATGAGATGCCCATCCTATTTCCTTTTGCATACCGACTGAGAAAATTGGATCTCCAATATACTCTTCTTGATACAGAAGACTATTGTGTCTTAATTCAGAGGTGTCCCAACTTGGAAGTTCTTGAGGTGAAACTTGAAAACTTTTTCCTGTCATTTTATTCGCTGTTTAACTTTTTTCTTCCCGTAACGTGTATCTGCTAGGCCATGCATCGACATTTTCACTCTGGTTTGTCGCATTGCTCTCCCGATGCTTTTAACATTGCTGTCTGTTAAAATGACTTCCAAAATTTTCACCTTCTTGACTTTTTTCGTAAGTTACTACCACGAAAGTAACCAGATATAAAGAATATAAATATTTGTTATAGCTACCAAACAGTAGAAAAATTAGAAGGGATTATTCTTATTGGGATACTGAACAAACAATTATGCACAGGCACTGAATGTTATTGGAGATAGAGGCTTGGAATATCTTGCTCGCTGTTGCAAGAAATTAAAGAGGCTTAGGATTGAGCGAGGTGCTGATGGACATGAAGTGGAAGATGAAGAAGGTGTTGTTTCACAGAGAGGTTTAATTGCTCTTGCACAGGGATGCCTCGAGTTGAAGCATTTGGCTGTATACGTGTCTGATATCACAAATGCATCTCTTGAATGCATCGGCACTAACTTGAAAAATCTCGCTGATTTTCGTATGGTCTTACTAGATCAACAAGAAAAGATACCAGATTTGCCACTTGACAGGGGAGTTCGATTTCTACTAATGAATTGCGATAAGCTTAGACGTTTTGCTCTGTATCTTCGGCCGGGGGGCCTGACAGACCTCGGTCTCAGTTATATTGGCCAGTACAGCCCGAATGTGCGATGGATGCTTCTTGGTCCTGTTGGGGAATCCGATGCAGGGCTGCTGGAGTTCTCCAGAGGCTGTCCTAACCTGCAAAAGCTAGAAATGAGGGGCTGTCGCTTCAGTGAAAAAGCGCTGGCTGTTGCCACATTGCGGCTAACTTCTATGAAGTACTTATGGGTGCAAGGGTATAGAAGATCAGCAAGTGGTCGCGATCTCTTGGCCATGGTGCGCCCATTCTGGAATATTGAGTTGATTCCTACAATACAAATTGTTGTTGCTGATCCAGATGGGGAAGCTGAAGTTGTTGATTGTCCAGGCCATATACTTGCATATTATTCCCTTGCTGGACCAAGAACAGATTTCCCAGTTTCTGGTTCGGTTATGTCTTTTGACCCAACTTCGGTACTTCCTCCATAGGTCTGCATATACAATATTTTTCCATGGGTTCTTGTTTTCCCTATTAGTTGTCTGTTCATTGTTTACTGTTTTCTTTTCGATTTTATTTTCAGACCTTTTGCATGGTAATAAGATTTCTTGTTTGGTAAAGCTTGAAACACTTCCATTCTTCTTGCGTCACCGCCTGACACGCAGAAGGCGCAATTATTCAAGTTTCAAATATTGCTGCTGGCTTGTGTTTACAGTAGCTGTAGTTCGATTGTCCAGTATTGTGTAGCAAGTGGGCAGAATTTTTAAGAGTTTGTAATTGTGAATAGAAATGGAGTGATTTTACATACCATAAATTTGGTGCCGCTCTCATTTTTTTTTGCCTGGCTGGATTGAGCCTTGATGCTTTACCTCTTATTGCTCATGTTTCTAAAATTAAATTAGCAACTTTGTATATAGGGAACTATAAATGCAGTAGTGATCTTTAGGAAGGCCTGTATTAGTGATCATGCACAGGAGACAATACTCAAATTAGAGGGGAGAATTCCGGTGGTGTGCACGCCTAATGAAAAGTTTTGTGAGACACAAATTTGCTTTTTTAGAAATATTTCTGATAAAATAATAGGCAGCAGTTATTTCTTGTGAAAGTACAACATTTAATTGATAATGTGTATCAGTTGACACTACTATGTGGTGAAATGTACACTAAAAAATTTCTCATGAAGACAACACTGATATCACGAAAATCTGTAATCTTAAAGAAAACATGCAGTCATGTAGCTACACGATTGTCCGTTCCAAGGAGTTGATAATAGTCGATGTCATATTCAAGAGTTTCGTGCACTATACTACCTTTGGAATGTTATACTTGAAGGGATTGCTCCTGGTGATCGATTTCACCGGTGTAGGTTGGTCGGGGCAAGATCTGTCCAAGTCGGCTTATGTTCATTTTGACTAATTTTTTCTCTGATTTGATCAAAGAAAGCAAATTATCCATATTAGGATTAAAAAATTTATGAGGTATAGATCTTTTATGATCTGATCTCTTTTCAAAAGAGTTGTCAAGTTTCGAACTCAAGATATCGGAGTTTATCATTACCCTCGTCTTCAATTACCCCTTGATGTTAATCACAAATAGTTTGGACAAGACGTTGTCAAGTATTCCATCCCACTAACAACTATACATCTTGGAGATGGTATTTTTTTTCTTTGTTGCAATAGTTTTGTTTTACTGTTGTGTATCATGCGTCTTGAAAATGATTAATTGGCTCTCATAATAATTCAATGCAGGAAAATGTCAAAACTCAAAAAAAAATATCCTCTGTCCTTTATTGCAGAATTCGTATTAGCCTTGGCAATGTCCATAAAATGGGAAACACCTTTTCAATTATAGACTAGAAATCAAGTGAAACCACGTAGATCTTAAACTAGACAAATGAAAAAGAGGGGCAAAAACCCATCAATAATTGAAATCAATTAGCTAAAGATTTCCACATTAAGCTATTTTAGACTTATCCGACTTGAGTTATGAGAACATGATGGTACTACACATGAGAAGGTTTGTAAAAGTGAGAGGATACATATATGTCTATGTTAGTATTCCCGTGAGATGTATGAGATTAACGTCTTTTCTCTCACTTCTATCCCACCATGGTATCCCCCACTACACCTACACACCCCACCCTAACCACCTTCACCCAGCTTGCATTGTACGAAACAATCAACTAATGGGTTAAATCAATGTTATCAGAATCGGATCACCCATTGAATTGGCTAAGGGACTAGATCAATTATTCATTGGTTCAACTAATAGTTCAACTAGTGAGTCAACTGGTCAGACCGGTCATAAAATAAAATATATATATCTATATAATAAAGTAGCTTACAATTCAAATTTTAAAAATAAATAAAATGACTTTTGCTATTTGTATTTGAGATCGCTTTAAATTTTATTTTAAAGTTAATTTAATAGTTAATATTAATACCTTAAATTTAATAAAAAAAATAGGCCTTTAAGGGTTAAAAATACTTTNAACTTTTACAATTTGTATTTGAGATCGCTTTAAATTTTATTTTAAAGTTAATTTAATAGTTAATATTAATATCTTAAATTTAATAGAAAAAATAGGTCTTTAAGAGTTAAAAATACTTTTAGAAGTTATTTCTCATAAGTACTTTAAAAAAAATAATAGTGTNCCATCACCGCCGCCACCATTGTCGCCACCACCGCCACCGCCACCGCCACCACAGTCATTGCCACCCACCACAACCATTATCGTCTTATACCACCATCACTACGGTCCACCACCTCTCACCTCCACTACAAACTGAATCTTAAATTCTTTTATCTTTTCTCTATGTTTGTGATTGATTTTGGATATGAATATAAATATGTTTATTGTTTACTATTTTTTATCATACTGTACCTTCTGACACAGNGTTTGAAATCGTCTTATCACTACCTCTACCACCACGACCACCATTATCGCTATTGTAGTTGTCGCCGCCACCACTACCTTTACCCCCACCACCGCCGCCGTCACCACCACCANCACTGTACCTTCTGGCACAGACAATAATTAGTAATAATTATAAAACACAATAATTTAGCTAAAAAAATATGTCTAAAATGCATACAATTTGTCATAAAATTAATGAAGTTAAGTAAAAGAAACACCTGTGTCAAATATCAAAGTTGAATTTTAAACCTCTAATTCANTACTGTACCTTCTGACACAGACAATAATTAGTAATAATTATAAAACACAATAATTTAGCTAAAAAAATATGTCTAAAATGCATATAATTTGTCATAAAATTAATGAAGTTAAGTAAAAGAAACACCTGTGTCAAATATCAAAGTTGAATTTTAAACCTCTAATTCAAGTACATAACAAAAACATCACTCTAAGTCCACATCTCAAACCACAATTCTTACCGAAGTTAAAAGTTTACATAAGAAATCAAAAATCTGGAAATATTTGTTGGACTTGCTATGTTTCTATTTATACATGGGTTGTTTGGTTGGCAATTAGTGTTGAATATCAAAACCAGAAATTGAATAACGGGGGTCCAAGGAATTGACTACAAATACTCAACAGTGTCTTGATTAAACCTAAACAGTAAATATCATTATCATGGTCAGATTTTACTTTACTTCCCCCAAATTTGCATAGAACATATAAAAATGAACAGGATTGAATTTCGTGTTGATTGGCTAATTTTGGGAAAAATATTAGGGATTCTACTAATTTCTAGATCTTGGTTACTAAGATATGAAATGAAGTTTTTACCTTAATGTTATATTTTGATAAAAGCAAGTAAAGGGAGGATTGCAGTGGCTGAGTCGTTGATCGCAGTCGCCTGAGTGGCTGATTCTTGGTCACTGGAGCCTGGTTGATCGCAGTGGCTGATCGTAGTCGAAGATCCACTAAGTGGCTGATCGCAGTGACTGATCGGTGGTGCCTTCTGTGATTTAGGGCAAACAAAAGCCCCAAATACAAAAAATGAAAAAATTCTAAAACTCNTGAAGTTAAAAGTTTACATAAGAAATCGAAAATCTGGGGTAAACAAATCAAAAATCTGGAAATATTTGTTGGACTTGCTATGTTTCTATTTATACATGGGTTGTTTGGTTGGCAATTAGTGTTGAATATCAAAACCAGAAATTGAATAACGGGGGTCCAAGGANCGAAGTTAAAAGTTTACATAAGAAATCAAAAATCTGGAAATATTTGTTGGACTTGCTATGTTTCTATTTATACATGGGTTGTTTGGTTGGCAATTAGTGTTGAATATCAAAACCAGAAATTGAATAACGGGGGTCCAAGGAATTGACTACAAATACTCAACAGTGTCTTGATTAAACCTAAACAGTAAATATCATTATCATGGTCAGATTTTACTTTACTTCCCCCAAATTTGCATAGAACATATAAAAATGAACAGGATTGAATTTCGTGTTGATTGGCTAATTTTGGGAAAAATATTAGGGATTCTACTAATTTCTAGATCTTGGTTACTAAGATATGAAATGAAGTTTTTACCTTAATGTTATATTTTGATAAAAGCAAGTAAAGGGAGGATTGCAGTGGCTGAGTCGTTGATCGCAGTCGCCTGAGTGGCTGATTCTTGGTCACTGGAGCCTGGTTGATCGCAGTGGCTGATCGTAGTCGAAGATCCACTAAGTGGCTGATCGCAGTGACTGATCGGTGGTGCCTTTTGTGATTTAGGGCAAACAAAAGCCCCAAATACAAAAAATGAAAAAATTCTAAAACTCGTCGGTTTTAGTCTTTAGAATACAAAATGTAATTTAATTTTTAATTGGGCATTAAATCTTCTGATTTTTATAAAATCGCCGATTCATGGTTTTTTGCCAATTCTCTTCCTTAAGTAGTCCAATTAGAGAACCGAACCAGTTAAGGCCCCGGGTCACGGTTGAACCGGTTCGGTTATGATAACACTGGGTTAGATTCCAAAAAAACTTTTGAGATAGGTAATTGTAAAGAGATTAGAATTGGAAAAGGGTTAAGAACTTTATTTCTAAAAGAGTAAATAATGATGATGGAAATAAGGAGGGAACTTAGAAATTGTTTGGAGTGTTTTTAATTCTAAATTCTAGTAATGACGGAAATGAAGAGGAATGACATCCCGAGCTATAAACCCACAATTTGATTATTTTATATAACAAAGTGTGAAGCTTTCTATATCAGGTTAGATAATCCATTCAGAAACCAATTATCAAGACTTGCTTTTAAAAAACACTTGAAATTTTTTTTTTATTAGTTTCTCTTTTACAAAAAAAGTTTAGGAGAAAAAGATCTAGTCAGTGTTGAAACTTTGCCTAGGAAAGTGGTCTAAATCCACTCAAAAGGTTTGATCAAAACTAGAATAAAGTGGCTGGAGTGCTTTCTTGTGCAACTTGCAGAAAGTTTGCTCCTTAAAAAAATGTTAAAAAAAGTTGCTAGTTCTGTCATTCACTAGGGAAAATGTTAATAAGAGTAATCATATGACATATTGCTCTTGTTGCCTTGAAAATTTTTATTGCTTAATATGTGTGGCTTAGAGGGTGATATCTGCAAAGTGACATGGGTTGGGCACTATGCTTTTGGTAATAGTTGTAGCAGCAACAAGAAGATAGCAACTAAAAGAAACAAACAGTGGCAGCATATTAGGAAGAATGATTTGTTTAGTAACATTTCATTTGTGGGTCTAACTTCCGCGTTGAAAAGTTACTTTTCGATACTGTACCTCTAAATTTTTATCAATCAAAATAAAAAATGTGTAAATTTCTTATCATTTACTATTTTTGTTTACTTTAGTATTTTTACAATCAATGATTACAAACAAATCAAGACAAAATCTAAGGCTCATAATAAATTTTGTTACGATACCCAAGTGGTAGTATAGTGCTATCCTTCATTTGTGGACAACCTCTGAGATAGTGACCTGCCCACTTTCATACAACCAAGATAAAGTAAACCAGACAACACAGAAGGTTAGTTCTTCATGGCTTTGATATCATTTCCATTTTGTACAGGGGAATTTATTCTGTTTTGTTCTGCTTTGACATTCTGCTATTNCTATCAATCAAAATAAAAAATGTGTAAATTTCTTATCATTTACTATTTTTGTTTACTTTAATATTTTTACAATCAATGATTACAAACAAATCAAGACAAAATCTAAGGCTCATAATAAATTTTGTTACGATACCCAAGTGGTAGTATAGTGCTATCCTTCATTTGTGGACAACCTCTGAGATAGTGACCTGCCCACTTTCATACAACCAAGATAAAGTAAACCAGACAACACAGAAGGTTAGTTCTTCATGGCTTTGATATCATTTCCATTTTGTACAGGGGAATTTATTCTGTTTTGTTCTGCTTTGACATTCTGCTATTTAATTTATGTTTGATTTTTATATAATGGTTTGATGAATATGCTTTTCTAGATTTATTAGGACCGAAAAAATTTAGGTTGGATCGGATAAGCTAGACCATATCATGGAATATCAATGAGAAATTTATGAACAAAAGAGAAAATGTCTATTTGATTTATAGTTGATTGGCTGCAGATAATCGAATAGTGTGTATAGGGCAATAAAAAATNGCTAGACCATATCATGGAATATCAATGAGAAATTTATGAACAAAAGAGAAAATGTCTATTCGATTTATAGTTGATTGGCTGCAGATAATCGAATAGTGTGTATAGGGCAATAAAAAATCTACATCCTGAAAATAAGTATTAAGTATCAAAATTTCTTTGCTTCCACCTCCTAGGCAATCAAATACAGAACCGTGACAAAATAAAAAATAGCAGTTATAGTTACTATTTAGAGAAGAACTTGAAGCCCATTTCCTATCACCATTTTAGAAATCTTCCAAGGTCATTCAGATGTCAAGATTACTGATGCAAAAGGTTAGATACTCTATCCCCATGAACAACAAATCTCAAGAAAGTTAACCATTTTAATATCAGAATCAACAAGATCATCATATCTCCAAAGACTTGTTAAAGAAGCCACCATGCCAACACCAAGGTCTTGCCAACCTACACCATTGGCGAGAGAGAGAGAGAGAGAGAGACACGGACAGAGAAAGAAGGGGGGGGAGATCGAGGGAATTTGGATTGGGAAAAACAATAACTAGCGATATCATGTGATTAAAGTCACTATACACTGAACTATCATTTTGTGCGTATACAACTAAAGTGTGTATATAATGAGTGTGTGCAGCTGTGTTGTGGAGTGTGTGTTGGGTTTGTGAAATTTGGGGGGAGAAAATGTGTGCTGGGTGTGTGAAATTTGGGGGAAAAAGTATACCCCTCATGTTCAAAAAACTAGCTATCTTATTATATAGATATTACGTGGATCATTGTACATTTTACAATGGAGAAAAGCATAAGATGCTTGAATTAGTGGAATGCAGCGTCGACAAAGTGATGATGATGAATCTAGGTCAACTTGGCCAAATTAGACGCATAAATCTAAAGGGTGGCGGAAAGGGTTCAAAGGGAAAGCAAGCAATCAGATACCCTGGAGTTTTCATGGAGTGCTGGGTGAGTCAGCTAAGTTGGCAACAGCACTTAATCACATAGTGACTCGCCAAATAAGCCAAGTGCAGGCAATGGTCACATAATTTTTAAACATGAAAAGCCACACTGTAGTTAGACCACCTTTTGGAAGGAGAAAGCTAGATCTCAGAGGTGAATTGATACACTCTCCTCTTTAAGAATATAGTAAGAATATAAGACAACACAGTTTAATATGTAATTGAATTGCAGTCTAAGAAGTATTAATAACTTTGAACAAAGTATATGGATGAAAGAATCAAAATAATGAAATAAAAAATACTTGCTAAAGTCTATCCATGCTAAATGCAAAGTCATACATAATTCAAGAAGCTTATCTCCCCTTCATTTAACAGATATCGACTCAGGGGCTTCAGTTTTCAGCCTAAAATCATTTAGGGCTCCATAGAACTAGAAATTTATAGACAAGTTGAAGAGTCTTTCATTTGCAAGTTAAAGCATGACATAATTTTTCTTTCAACTAGCATGTACCTTGTCATCAATGTACATAACAGCATGACTTAGTTGCTAAATTAAGATTGTGCTCAAGGAAAACACAATTTAGCATGTCAACCTATTGACCATTAACATTGCTGCTTCATCCATGAATCTGATACCTTGTTGCATGAATCTGAAACCTTGAATTTTGAGGTCCAAAATGGGCTTCATGGTGAGCATTCCTCTGCAACTGATGAGGACCACGTGAAACAATCTCATACGGGCATGCCATGAACGGGTTGCCATGAGTTGAATTGAAAACCATCACCGCTCCATCATCCGGATGATTCCAGTCTAGTAATATCTTAGGTGTGCTTGATGACTTATGGGTAGGTGTAAGCACAGTAGACTTGTCAGTTGAAGGAGATGAGTTATTTTCCAATAAGGAAGTGTCAGTCAGACTGACCGCTGTGATGTCATGGATGCTGGGTCTCCTCTTATCTTTTCCTCCTGAAAGCTGCCTTAGATAGAATTTCTGAGCATGGCTTGCCACTTGAGTTGGTGTCTTAGAGATAACAAAATTACGGGCAATATTTCTCCAGTCTCCTTTTCCGTGCTCTTGAAGACCCAATAAAAATCGTCTACAGTTAATCACCAAAGAATCCATATCATGACAACATCAGGCAAATACTAATGCTGGAGATTTCAAATTGGTAACCTAGATATTTGAACAGTAAAAGATGGTTGATTCATTTTAATTGAGCTAAATTTATTTGGTACTGAACCTATTCCCTAACATGAATTCAGAGATTTCATCTAATCTAGTTCACAGTAAAAATACCCATTTTCAATTAGTTTCCAAATCAAATGTAAAATAAGGAGGAAAACACGAAGTAGTAGAAATGGCGCATCTTTGTTTGGTTGCACAAAACAAAGTAACCAAATAGAAATAAAAAAAAGTTCATAAATTTTATCCCAGTAGTTTGAATACGTGAAATTATCAAGTAGTCAGCTCTACAATTAGAAATCTACTCAACAAATCCTGCTATATTCGGGCTATGCAGCAAAAACTAGCGGAAATGAAAAGGAAACCAAATCCTACAAAACACCATCATTCAAGTATGTCAAAGGATTGAATAATCAGCTCAATCAGTAGGCTAAGATGAATTTGGTTTCTTTCCTTAAATACTAAAAAACAGCAGAAAAGGAAGCAATCTTCTGTATAACAATTTCATTTCTTTTACTTGTCACTTTACTGTGTTCACTAAGCAACCAAAAGGAGTGTCAATAAATTGAAGCACCAAGCTATCTGGCCAACATAGTTCTAGTTGGAGAGAACTCACCTGTGCTCCTCTTCTGTCCATGGTACACCTTTCTTCCTCTCCTGATCAGATCGCCCTGTGGAAGACTTCTTTCTAAACGCATCAAAATCGCGACTGTCAACCCATTCCAGTGTGAAAGAGGAGGTCAGATAACCAGGAATTGGTACCAAACCATTTTCTATATCACTAACATCTGCTAATAATTCCATGTACTGATTCATCACATCGAAAACAGACTTTCCGGGGATCATGGCTGCTACCTTTATCCATCGATCCGGGGTCTCCTTGTCGAATATTGCAAGAGCACTCTCAAATTTCTTGTTCTCTTCTTTAGTCCATTTTGTGCTCTTGCCTTCTTGCATAAACAAATTCGAGGTCAAAAGATCTGAAGCTAAGCCCAGAGTCTCCATACCCACCAAGTTCCAAACACCTTTATCAGTCTTAAGTCTAAAACCCTCAATCTGCCATAATTTGACAGCCCATAATCCAAGAGATGAGCATTCAAACTGATGGCAGTTATGAAATACCAAAGGTATGCGGAAAAAAAGGTGTAAGACTTTTACGATGATGCAAACGCATTAAATTCAGAATCGTTTTACTGGGAATCAGAATACTCTTTTTCCAAAGAGCATATTTCTTTTTTGTTTTGTTGAAAAACTAGTAGCATATGTTAAAGAATCTACGAAAGACCCACCTTGTCAGAATCCAAAGAATCTAGGATAAATGTCAAGAATGCTCACATAAACCCTAGACCCCGCCAATCACATCCGAAACTAAACCACTAGGCTATACAGAGAGATACAAGTGAAAAACAAGCAAAACCCAGGTGAAAAATTTTAATTTGAAAGATATTGATTGAAATTCAGAAGAAACGAAGCTCAAAATGAAGAAAAAACCAATCAAAGCAAGACCCACTTGAGAAAAGGCAGTGATTCTGACGAATTGGGTGAGAAAAAAGGNCAAGTGAAAAACAAGCAAAACCCAGGTGAAAAAATTTAATTTGAAAGATATTGATCGAAATTCAGAAGAAACGAAGCTCAAAATGAAGAAAAAACCAATCTAAGCAAGACCCACTTGAGAAAAGGCAGTGATTCTGACGAATTGGGTGAGAAAAAAGGGGAGAAAGTTTTTTTGTCTTCCTTCCTTTGAGGTTAAGGCGGCAAAGAAAACCGATGGAAAATGGCAAAATGGGTTTGGAAAAGAAGGTGGGCTATCAGTATCAGAATCAGTAGTAGCAGTGCAGTTCTGTATTGTGGTAGTGGATGAACCCACAGGGATGAGGGAAAGAGAATAGGAAACTTCCTCAACTGAAGGTGTCTAGTAATGATTGGAAGTATAATTGTTTTTTGCAGTTCAATGTNGGCAAAATGGGTTTGGAAAAGAAGGTGGGCTATCAGTATCAGAATCAGTAGTAGGAGTGCAGTTCTGTATTGTGGTAGTGGATGAACCCACAGGGATGAGGGAAAGAGAATAGGAAACTTCCTCAACTGAAGGTGTCTAGTAATGATTGGAAGTATAATTGTTTTTTGCAGTTCAATGTAAATGTGTCTCTGCTCTTATAATAGGGAGTTGATTAAGCGACCATGGCAGTTCTCAAGTGTGATTTAAGCAATTAAACACTTTTGTGTCAGCATAATAAAAGTTGAGATTATCATTAGATTGTTCTTTTTAAAAAGTTACCAAAAAGCATGATTAAAAGAAAGTAAAAAAAAAGGTAGCATTTTGTTTTTTTATTTTGATTGATTCTATTAAAAGATTGGGCTTTTTGCATTTTATATCGTGNTTCTCAAGTGTGATTTAAGCAATTAAACACTTTTGTGTCAGCATAATAAAAGTTGAGATTATCATAAGATTGTTCTTTTTAAAAAGTTACCAAAAAGCATGATTAAAAGAAAGTAAAAAAAAAGGTAGCATTTTGTTTTTTTATTTTGATTGATTCTATTAAAAGATTGGGNCTTAAAATACATATTGGGGTGCAGTAGTTGACCATTATGTTAGTCTAGTCAAATTCATTTTTTAGAAAAGTAACGGACGCAGTTAAGGGCCTCATGATCTGATGTAGGGCAGCGTTGTGATGATCGTGATTCTGAANAAGGTAGCATTTTGTTTTTTTATTTTGATTGATTCTATTAAAAGATTGGGCTTTTTGCATTTTATATCGTGAAAATTTTTAAATTTTTTATTTTGTATATTCAAATATTATATTTTTTACATTATATTCTCAAAAAATCAAAAGTATTGTAATGTGGATCTTCTGTTAATTTTCGTTATTTTTTTCGTCAAAAGTTAACTCATTGACACTGACAGCAAAACTAATAGAAAATTAACAAAATGATTATTTTACAACATTTTTGATACGTTGAGNCAAATTTTTTATTTTGTATATTCAAATATTATATTTTTTACATTATATTCTCAAAAAATCAAAAGTATTGTAATGTGAATCTTCTATTAATTTTCGTTATTTTTTTCGTCAAAAGTTAACTCATTGACACTGACAGCAAAACTAATAGAAAATTAACAAAATGATTATTTTACAACATTTTTGATACGTTGAGGATGTAATATAAAAAATTTAATTTTTAATAGTATAAAATTTAAAATTTAAAATCTTTTGAGATATAAAGTGTAATTCGTCGTAAATTATTAAATTAGATACCGTAGCATTAAAGGGTTATGACTTAAAAGNAGATGTAATATAAAAAATTTAATTTTTGATAGTATAAAATATAAAATTTAAAATCTTTTGAGATATAAAGTGTAATTCGTCGTAAATTATTAAATTAGATACCGTAGCATTAAAGGGTTATGACTTAAAAGAGTGAAGGGAAGGCCACTGGATTAATGTTGTAGTAACCTTAGGCCCAACTTGAGTTCGATTTCCAAAAGTCATACATAGTCGTTCCGTCTTGTAATCTTTTAACTATATTTGTAAGTGTATTCGTAACCTTTTTCCAAACAAAGTAAAAAAAAAAAAGAAAAAGACATGAAGGATTACATAGAAGGAAAACATAATAAATTGCCTAAGCTTAAGATCAAATCAATATGTTATGCTAAAACTCTGCTTATTTGTAGATTTTTTTTTTTGTGAAGAAGTAAGTAATTGGCTCTGAAAAGTAAGTAGGGACATTTATTTTGTAGAAAGTGTTACATTCAGAACATTTTTCATAAAAAAAACTTTATTTTGACAAATCACTCAGTCACCTTGAATTAATATTTACAACTCACTTTTTATTAATCTATTTTATGTGGAATATGCTATTTGAAGCCCAAGATTTTATCTTCTAAAAATTATAGAATAAACTATACAAATTGTCCTTAAACTATGATCCTTATATCAATTAAGTCTATAAACTAATTTTCGTGTCAATTGAGTTCTTAAACTCTAAAATTTTAGCAACTAAGCTCTTTTGTCACCAACTATTAGTTTTTGGATAGAATATCTCACATACTCATCATTTGGACAACATATTAATGGTATTTTAGACCATTCATTCAAAACCTATCAGACAAATAAACTCATTCTTTACACCCATCCCTAAGTTTAGACCCTTTTCATACCTATCAAACAAAACAAATCAACAAGCTCTTTGAAACTGACTAAAGCAAATATTTCCTTCTCGTGAACAATAAAACGTTATTTTTTCTTATTAAGTTTCCAACTTTCAAAGGTCGTTGAACGATCTTCTTGCACGAAGACACCCCCATTAGTCCGATTGAAGACATTCGTATCTACTTTGAACAGTTTATCAAATTCAAACAATTTTTGCATTGGTTCACTCGTTATTGCTCTCTTCAGCTTGTCAAACGTTATTTGACAATCAAGAGATCAGACCCTTTTCAAAATTTAGAAATTTTTTTGAATTAACTAATTTTACTTATGTGTATAGATTTGGACTGAGAATTGAAGAATCTTCGCCAAACCTGTCCTCAAGTAAGTGTTGCTTACCACCGAGTGGGGGTGGTCCAATGGATATCAAACAAATTTTTCAACCTAAAGTTAGAGGTTTGAATCTTAAAATACATATTGGGGTGCAGTAGTTGACCATTATGTTAGTCTAGTCAAATTCATTTTTTAGAAAAGTAACGGACACAGTTAAGGGCCTCATGATCTGATGTAGGGCAGCGTTGTGATGATCGTGATTCTGAAAGTCGAATTTCGTGAGTTGTGTTAGGCAGAGTAAGGCCTCGAATGCATTTTAAGGTTATGATTGTAGTGAGAAAATTTAAAAAAAATATGTATATATATGATAGGCTATTCGAATCGTGCAAATTGAAAAAGATCAGCACGATTGAGGTTAATGAGCGAATTTGATCGACTAGAGGTTCAAGGCTCGGTGTGTGTGGGTCTCAAAAGAGGGTGTGCATTATGATTTTACTCTAGCAACGTGTAATTAACCTAAGGGGGCTGGGAATGAGTCAGCCATCAAGAGAAATATAAAACAAACTAGAAAACACAACAGGGACAAACAGGGTATGGTATGTTGTGTGGTTTTGTGAGTAGAAAGAAAGTAGAAGTGGTAGGAAAAGAAGGGTGGTTTCGGTGGAAAGGAGATAAGGCCTTCATGGGTGTTGTTCTTAGGTGCGGGAGAAAGAGAGACGAATGGGTAAGAAAAGAAGAGTGGAGAAGAAAAGAAATAAGAAGAAGAAATGATCCTGTCAATTCTGGACAGTAGGTGAGTTTCGTATTCATTTCATAAGCTACGATTATTTAACAATTTTGGAATTTTGAGGCTATAATATAGACTGAAAAATGATTCATTTAGTTTTGGTTTCAAGTAAAATGGAAATAAATACTATTTCTGGTGATTTCTGAAAGTTAGCCCCAGTCTATAGAAATTGTTCTGGAAAATCTGGACAGGATGTAGTTTTATAACTGGTTTTATGAGTTAGAGTTCGTTTATGAATCTTAAACTTTGAGGGTTTGAAATAGATTCATAAAGGGTAATTTTGGCTTTAGTCTCACGGAAAAAGGATGAAAACTCGATTTTTGGTGAATTTCTAAATATGATTATGACCTTCTGGAACGTGAAAATCCTGTAACTTATACCTAATTTTAGGAGTTACTTTGAACAGGTATTTAGTATTCAAAAATTGTGATTTTTGGTGAAAGTGAATTCCTACGAGCCTATGTTCATCTCCTACATATTTTTTTAGAATTGGATTTATATAACTTGAGGTAAAGTTGTTTTAACACATGAAGGTTACCTGCAGAATGTTTAAAGATGCTAAACGTCTACGCTAAGTTGGAAAAGAACCCTACATGTGACATTAAAATTGATTAACAGAGATAAAATAAAGATAGGAAAATAGAAAAAATAAAATAAGAACAAAGGACAAAAGAATTTTAATTGTTATTTGGTGCAGGTTTGAATTCTGACTTGGTGAGCTTGGCATACGTGGTGCCCAAGTTTTTGTTTGGTAGGGTTTCTCAATTCTAGAATAAGCGATACTTTCCAAACTTGTTTCTAAATTATTTCATATTTTATTTATGATTCTTGAATAGTTTTGAAATATATGATTAAGTATTTTGAATATTACGTGAATTCGGACCCGGATCAGGATTTCTGAGTGTGGGTTGCACTAATGTTTTAGAAATAATTATATTACTCGTATCGTTCATATTGAAAGAAACACCAGGATCCTTTTAAATGAAATGTAAGTGCACACAGGTTTGAGTGGAAAAGGGTTTACGTTCTAGGTTGAGATTATAGAGTTTCTCATTGAGTTCGTAAATACCTGGTTGACCTTGTTGGTCTTCGGACTTGGGTACTGAATTGGATCGTGTTGACTTGGAAGCGTATCTTCCTTGGGGTGAAAGTCCCCTAAATTATTGGATCGTATGTTTGTATGGATCGTATTGAACCTAGGTGGTCTATTAGGATTATTTGCTCATCAGTGTGGCTCTGTATTGATGTTGTGACCGTATTATTGTTTTCAAACCTAACTGTTTTTACTTAACATTTACTGTTTCTTATATAGATGTATCAAATGCTCAATTGGATTTTTGTCCAATCATGTGAAATTATATTATTTTCAAACTCGCTTGCTGAGAAATTGAGTTACTCTACTAAGCTGTTGATGTTCATCCTATATTATTTCCCCTTTTTCAGATTAACATATGGCGAGAAAGTCGCGAATATTCGATCTATCGATATTTTCTTTAGTGAAAATTTGAAAATGTTTTATGTTATATAGATTGAGTTATAAAAGTTTTGTATTTGATACGTGTAAGTTATAATAGTTTGGAAGTACTTGTTTGAAATATATATATATATGAAAATTGGTATAAAAGTTTATTCATTATTTGGATATTGTATCATTTAGTGATTGCGAAGGTTGTTATCACTCTTGAAATAGTACAAAAGTGAATGAGGGTGTTACAAGTGTGGTGAAAAAAATGAGATTAGATAACAGAGAACTATAATTTGTTGCTTATTGCAATAATTCCATATTAAAATCATAAAAAATCTTGTTAATTCACGAAGAATATCAATTCAATTGGAAGAAAAGAGAAATCTCTCTACGTTTATTGAAACAATACCAAAGTTGTTGATTAGTCTTACACATCCTTCGAATACTAAACTCTAACAGTCCTAAATTACAGGAAAACCCCAACATTAATGCAAAATATTAAATAAATACTCCAAACAACATGATAGAAAATAAAAATGCTTAAAAAGTGGCATAAACATCATTTTTTGGCTTAAAAACGACAGGTTGAAAGAGATATTTCCAATCTTTGCTCGGCTCGTCGAGAGCTTTCCGGAATTGGATCTTAATAAATTTTCTGATACTGTCGCCCAAAATTAGTCCCAATTGACATCTGATCATCACTACTTTTGACGGTCTTGATCTGCCATATAATCATGTGCTAAATGTGTTGCATCATGATCCCACCAGTGAGAATTTGTCAAAGTAGTCTCTAGACGCTCTTCTTTAGCCTCCGCCCTTTTTTTGTTTTTTTTTTTATCAAAAAACCAAAAAAAGTAAGTATTGCTTAAAACAGTAGACTTTCTTTCATGAACAACAGAATAAACAAATATTTAAAAACAAATTTGTACGTTCGTACTACAAAGTAAGCGCCTGTAGCTCAGTGGATAGAGCGTCTGTTTCCTAAGCAGAAAGTCGTAGGTTCGACCCCTACCTGGCGCGATTTACTTTGTTTCCAATTCTCCCCCCCCCACCATTCCCAACTATAGCTAAACTCAAAGCATTTTACTTTTGGAAGCAAAAACTGATTTTCATCTGCTAATATTTTTTTTATTGGGAGTTGATCAACCTATGAATCAATCAAAAAAGATTTTGTATCAGAGTCTCTCCTTCGGAATACTTGCAGAAAAATTGTTTTCATAGCAAAATTCAATAGCCACAGCAGCTCCAACTGCTTCAATATGCTCAGGATCCATCAACCAATCAAATCTTCTGACGGATGCGAATAAAAAGCTTGCCAGCTGAATCTATGATGACCAACAAGGGTACCTGAAGCTTTAACTCCAGTAAACCGAGGCTCATAGTCATCAATATTAACTTGCAGAACATGGGGGGAGGGGGAGGGGGAGATCATAGGTAAAACCTTGGTGGACTATGAAACTGTTGGGACTCTTGATTAGGATAGGTGGTTGCATTATGCAACCAAACATTGATTCAAGTAGGAAGTGGAACCTTATTTATTTTTTTAAGTTTGACAAGCTAGTGTCATCCAGAAACAAAAACTAGTCAGGACATAAAGAAATGCAGCCTACTGCCACCCCTCTGATATAGTCTAACATCATCCTGTCCTGTCACAAATCTAATCCCGAAACACTCTAGAAGTTTCTGAGAGGAAGAACACGATGAGTAGATTCATATGAACTACCACACAGGAAATGGCAAGCCTTTACTGCTGGAATTTTTGCTATAAATTCCACTGTGTTGGCCAAACAAAGACCTCTATGAAGAAAAAAAACCTTATTTGGATTTCTTTGAGCCCAGATAACTATTCCAAAGAAAGTTCTGAGATCGTTGATCTTAGCTCTGTCACAACCTTACTCCTTAGGCAGTCCCTATCAACCACCAAGTTTTAGCACTCTTCACCAAGAACTTTCTAGATTTGGTGCAGTGCCAAATCAATCAATCCCTCTTAATGAAACTGGCCATTAAGAGGATATCAGTGATAAGTTTCGCCTCAAAGTTCAGAGAGTTGGCCCTAATGAGGTCATGATTCCAACAGTTTCTATTTCTGCTGAGAAGTAATTGATGTAGGAGCCACTTATCTCCTTTAGATCTTAATAGTAGCTAGANTCGCCTCAAAGTTCAGAGAGTTGGCCCTAATGAGGTCATGATTCCAACAGTTTCTATTTCTGTTGAGAAGTAATTGATGTAGGAGCCACTTATCTCCTTTAGATCTTAATAGTAGCTAGAGTCCCATTTCTCCAAAGAAGACCCGCCTCAAGAATTACGAAGGATTACTTCAAGTAATTCAACTGATTATTTGTAAAATCCAAAGAAGGAAAATGCCTATAGCTTTTTACCCTTTATGAAGCAAGGACTTAGGACGACTTCATCGATCTCCTGGAAAATTTAGCCAACAAAAAAAGTATTGTTAAATGCTAACACATTTCTGAAGCATATCCCACCTTTCTCATTTGATCAGCATTGTTTTTCTAATGAAAACCAACGAGTCTTATGTTCTAAACCACTAATTAAAGCCAGATTGGTAAATTGATGCACCGAAACTATGTAGCAAATTAATGTATTAATCATGCTTCTTGAATCCTGATGAGTATGTAGTTACATACTTCTTTACATTCAAACACAAAAATCACAAGCAAAACGAAGTGAACAATATAATTAAGCTTTTCAATTTATTTATAGTTTATTTGAGCAGCTTCATCCTGCTTCCAAAACAATCACTCGTACTCCTTTGTCAAATCTTTGGCTCAAGGTTTTTGTACTTCTTCGGTCCTCATGCCTTCTTCTAGTCCCATTAGTACCTCTACCAATTTCACATTTTCCTCATGCTGTCATGTTACGCCGTTTGGACTTGCCTAACATGTCGGAAGGTCACCTGGAGGCGGTGGAAGGGACTCATTTGGGCCTTCACCATCTTCCACCAAAAATGCCATTTTTAGTCCCCATGTGGTGTGTATCTCCAGATGGCAATGAAAAAACCAAACACCTGAAGACATCAAAATAAAAATCACAAAGAATTCAAAGCTACTGAGAATATCTTTGTCAATCGGGGGAAGGGAAAATGCCAGCAATAGTTGCTTGGTTAGAGAAAAGGTTCTTTGGATATGTAACTCTTTTGGATGATTCCATGCAACTACTCTGGGAAAGTACCCACTTACTTTGTGGAAGCACAGTCTTAAGGTGAAGTCTCCTTATCAGGAAAATGACTCCTTACAACTACAAAATTACTTAAAAAAAAATATATTCTTTATTTACCTGCATTGCTTTCAGACTCACCTAATGAAATTAACAGTTAAGCAGAAGAAAAACAGCAGAAATTCAAAGCAAAAAGGAAACAATAGAAAATCTAGCTTTACCTGGGTTATCTGCCCTGAATCTGATTGCGGTCCATCCAGCAGTTGGTACACTTATGGTGTTCCTCTCAACAGGATCAACAAGATTGAATGTCTTGGTATCGTTTTTCGGATCAAAATTTCCTACCCCCTTCCCAACTACAAAGAAATTAAATCCGTGCAGATGGGTTGGATGGCTCTCTGGTGCAATAATTGATGTCCCTTGAATCACCAGTTGAACAGTAGAATTAAAGGGCAGTTTGTAAACCTTTGTACCATTCATAGTCTGTAAATTTGCTGGTGGAGTACCAGTATAATTAAAAGGGATGGGCGGGTTTCCAGGAAAGTCATCCGTAAAAACTCCATTAATGCCATAGTAATGTGCTTGAAGGACAGCAGTAGAAGGCATCACAAAGCTAACATTGTTGATATCTCCCACAACCCGGCTTCCATTAAGACATGTAGCACATGGATTAACACCAATACCAATGGCGAATAACAACGAATGATCAACGGTTAATGGGACTTTGGCAGGATATTGTTCTGAATTAAGGCTTTTAAGAGACTCCATGAATCTACTTGTCACTGGGGTAGCATTAACAGCAGGAAGGGTGGTGAGGGAGGTTGGGGAAAATGCAGGAGTATCTACATAGCGTAAAGTTCCAGTTGCAGTCTGGTTGTCAACAGCTACAATAGTGTCCATGAAAGGAGATATGGCTATTAAGTACTTGCCAATAGCCTGATCAGCAGTCAACAAAAAATTTGTGGTTTGGCCTGGACCAATGAAGATGGTATCAGTCTTGAAGGGCTTCGTGTACGAGGCATCAACTTCGACAATAGTTACTTGGTGGCCGGCAATCTTGAAGAAGAGCTCTTCATTCAGGCCTGCATTTATGAGGCGCAGCAAGTATGTCTTGCCACTTTCAACATGTAAAGTGAAACCTGCATATGGTATGAAAAGCAAACAAAGACAGGTGTTTGAGGTCTTTGATACCTTATTCAAGGAGGAAGCCAAAATTTGCAGTCAGGTGCATTATACATGTTAATATTTTTTCATTTTGTACCAGCCAAGCTCAAAAAATTGTTTTTAGTATTGATATCTAGTTTATATTTTTTTAGCAGACAATGTCATAATGCTGATTTAGTTGTACAAGAGTACAAGAAGTTTATAAGGACAAGGGAAACTAGCAAATTCTCTAACCAATTAAGAGAAAAATGGAGAGTACTGCTCCAAGAGATCAGGGGAAAAAAAATGACTCGCATGTCACACTCGCGAGAGTGTTGGAAATTACCTATGAGCTCATAAAAAATCTTCACATCGAAAAAAAATAAGGTAAAAGGACTTTATATGCAAAGATTGAACCAAACAATCCTAAGTTCGTAAAAAGTTAACTGTATATGAGGTAAGATGATAAAATGTTTAACATCTCTCATTCTTATTACTTTTTCAATATGAAAAAAAAGAAGAAAATTCAAATGGTCGGCTTATTCAAAACATCAATTATAACATCCCTTCTCTCCAACTTCACACCAAAATTCTATCAATATGACTGATCAAAAGGTTTGTTTATTTTCTTTTCCTCTTCTTTCTCTGGTCTGTACCAAAAATGCTGCAGTGAAGAAATTTATGCTTCTTAGTGAAAAGGGTTTGCTCTACACTAAGCATGAATTAACTATCAAAAGCTTTTTCCTTCAATAATCAAAAGATATACATATCTGCATCAGGAAAATAACTGGATTATGTATGCCCCATTTCATTACCCTTAGAAGAGCAATTTGGAGCAGGTCCTGGATGGCCATTAATAGTATGTGCGTCCGATACATTTGGTGCCAGACCCATTTGCATGGCCTGGTTGATCACTGTTTCAACATCTGACTTCCACCATTCACCTGAAATTAGGAGGACAAAATTTCGAAATTTGTTACTTAATTGTGCAAAGACATGCAAAAGTTGCAGCCAAAGAGCCTAGGATCACAAATTACTCGAAAAGTAACTGCAACTTGGGGGTGTAGTTTTGGTGGATCAATTCGAATATACGTGAATCGATACGGAATTATGTAAGTTTGGGCGACACTTTATCGGCATGATAAACGGTTGGACCCGTTGATCTATTTAATATATAAGTTATGTTCGGGTGAGGCAAGCCCACCCGTTTATCTGTTTATAAAATTAATATAATAATAAAATAATAATTATTAAAAAAATTAACTAGAATAATAAATATAGTTATTAACTAGTTCAGTTTTAGAAAAAAAGTTTTAATAATAATTTTTTAGANGAATATACGTGAATCGATACGGAATTATGTAAGTTTGGATGACGCTTTATCGGCATGATAAACGGTTGGACCCGTCGATCTATTTAATATATAAGTTATGTTCGGGTGAAGCAAGTCCACCCGTTTATCTGTTTATAAAATTAATAGAATAATAAAATAATAATTATTAAAAAAATTAACTAGAATAATATATATAGTTATTAACTAGTTCAGTTTTAGAAAAAAAGTTTTAATAATAATTTTTTAGATGATGTTCAAGTAAACGGGTCAAATTGGTGGATGGTTAAAGGGTTATTATGATAACTCAACCCAATCCAACATGATTCGTTTATTAAACAGGATGAACGAATCATATCGTATAACTCGTTTAATAAAATAATCGTGTTTAGTTTTAAGATTTTCCCTCGTTTATTTAAAAGAATCGTATACGAGCTTATTGATTTTTTATGATTCGTAACCGTTTAACATGACACAGTTAACATACATTATCAAAGCTTAATCTAATGTTAACCTAAATTGAAACTAAGTTCGACCCAGATAGTATAATTTGTGTTCTACAAAAATACTACTCAGGAATAATTAAAGGTTCAAATTGAACTTGAGCAACAAGTTTCATAAACTGAGTTGAGCCCGAGTTAATTTCTCAACTCTTAAATTGCAAACTAGAACAAATCAAAGTGAAATTTGAGCCCACCTAATATGATAATCTCTTCCTTGTCGGGTTTGGGAAATGGGTAAGGAACACCTCTCTTGGGCAAAATAACAATAGCACCATGTACAGTTGCTCTTAGCCAGTTGATATGTCCATGCCAAAGAAGGGTGCCTCTTTGACCAGTGAGAGTAAAATTGTAGATATAGCTTTGGCCCGTTTGTATCGGGCATTGGGTGATGTAAGCCGGCCCGTCAGCCCAACCCGTTTGCAACTGCCGGACTCCGTGCCTGAAAATTTACCCATTACAAAAAATGGGCATTAAGCTCTTGCTCAATTTTACAATTCGTTTAATAAATAAATCGAGCTTTAACAATAATTTATTTGGCATGTTAAGCTCGTGAACAATGTGATATTGAATATTTAATACACATAAATATGCATATATTGAGTATAATTTATGCAATATTATATATATAAAAATGAGCACTATAATTTTGTGCAAAGTCTAGACTCGAGTTTTTATTTAAACCTGCACGTCAATAAATTTAACAAAATGAGATGAACCAAGCATAGAAAAAAAAATTAACGAGCCGAGTTTGAATAGATGTTTAAACTTTAAAGCTCATCACGGTCTCAAATTGATTCTATACATTATTTATAAACGAGCTAAGCTTGAACAGTCCGATGTTCGACTCAATTCAGTTAATTTACAGTCCGATAACTTATCTCTATAGTTGCATAGCAAAATTATGCAGCAAACTAGTCCATAGTCTCACCAATGAATAGTAACGTTGTGCTGAACGTGGTTGACAACCCTCACAACCACTGTATCATCCTCCCTTGCATAGAGGGTAGGCCCTGGAAACTTGCCATTGACAGTGACAATGGGTTTTGTTGCACAAAGTCTCGTTGTGTTCTTCAAGACCACCTGCATAGAGTAGCAGGTAAATTGTACAGATCTCAATTCCAATACCTACTAATAGATCATTGAAAACCTTCTTCATTATGCCATTAAAAACTTTTAAGTGCCTTGACCAAATTGTTCAAGGTATTGAAGGATGTACTTACATTGAACTTGTAGTGACGAACCAAGGACTCAGCCAATGCAGGAAAGAGAAAAGCTACCAAGACCACCACTGCCCGGACCACCAAAATCATCTTTTCTCTCTCTCTCTCTCTCTCTCTGAATTCCTATTCTCACTGGTTTTTGGTACGCATTGTGTATGCTTGACCACTGCAAAAATATAAAGGCCCAAGTATTTGATGCTATGTCATTGTACCTGGTTAGGTGAGCATGCATTTAGAAAGTTTCCTTGCACATTACACAAAGTGGTTATCTGTCCACCACTGTGGTTTTGGAAGTAAGCTACTGAGCTTTTGTTGCCACTTTCAATTGACTGCAACTGATGTGAGAAATTCAGGCTGCTTGAAACATAAGTTGAAGCTGCACCTCTCGCTATTTGTCGATACAGCACATAAANAACTCGAGTTTTTATTTAAACCTGCAAGTCAATAAATTTAACAAAATGAGATGAACCAAGCATAGACAAAAAAATTAACGAGCCGAGTTTGAATAGATGTTTAAACTTTAAAGCTCATCACCGTCTCAAATTGATTCTATACATTATTTATAAACGAGCTAAGCTTGAACAGTCCGATGTTCGACTCAATTCAGTTAATTTACAGTCCGATAACTTATCTCTATAGTTGCATAGCAAAATTATGCAGNGGGTTATTATGATAACTCAACCCAATCCAACATGATTCGTTTATTAAACAGGATGAACGAATCATATCGTATAACTCGTTTAATAAAATAATCGTGTTTAGTTTTAAGATTTTCCCTCGTTTATTTAAAAGAATCGTATACGAGCTTATTGATTTTTTATGATTCGTAACCGTTTAACATGACACAGTTAACATACATTATCAAAGCTTAATCTAATGTTAACCTAAATTGAAACTAAGTTCGACCCAGATAGTATAATTTGTGTTNTGGTTATTATGATAACTCAACCCAATCCAACATGATTCGTTTATTAAATAGGATGAACGAATCATATCGTATAACTCGTTTAATAAAAGAATCGTGTTTAGTTTTAAGATTTTCACTCCTTATTTAAAAGAATCGTATACGAGCTTATTGATTTTTTACGATTCATAACCGTTTAACATGACACAGTTGACATACATAATCAAAGCTGAATCTAATGTTAACCTAAATTGAAACTAAGTTCGACCCAGATAGTATAATTTGTGTTCTACAAAAATACTACTCAGGAATAATTAAAGGTTCAAATTGAACTCGAGCAACAAGTTTCATAAACTGAGTTGAGCCGGAGTTAATTTCTCAACTCTTAAATTGCAAACTAGAACAAATCAAAGTGAAATTTGAGCCCACCTAATATGATAATCTCTTCCTTGTCGGGTTTGGGAAATGGGTAAGGAACACCTCTCTTGGGCAAAATAACAATAGCACCATGTACAGTTGCTCTTAGCCAGTTGATATGTCCATGCCAAAGAAGGGTGCCTCTTTGACCAGTGAGAGTAAAATTGTAGATATAGCTTTGGCCCGTTTGTATCGGGCATTGGGTGATGTAAGCCGGCCCGTCAGCCCAACCCGTTTGCAACTGCCGGACTCCGTGCCTGAAAATTTACCCATTACAAAAAATGGGCATTAAGCTCTTGCTCAATTTTACAATTCGTTTAATAAATAAATCGAGCTTTAACAATAATTTATTTGGCATGTTAAGCTCGTGAACAATGTGATATTGAATATTTAATACACATAAATATGCATATATTGAGTATAATTTATGCAATATTATATATATAAAAATGAGCACTATAATTTTGTGCAAAGTCTAGACTCGAGTTTTTATTTAAACCTGCACGTCAATAAATTTAACAAAATGAGATGAACCAAGCATAGAAAAAAAAATTAACGAGCCGAGTTTGAATAGATGTTTAAACTTTAAAGCTCATCACGGTCTCAAATTGATTCTATACATTATTTATAAACGAGCTAAGCTTGAACAGTCCGATGTTCGACTCAATTCAGTTAATTTACAGTCCGATAACTTATCTCTATAGTTGCATAGCAAAATTATGCAGCAAACTAGTCCATAGTCTCACCAATGAATAGTAACGTTGTGCTGAACGTGGTTGACAACCCTCACAACCACTGTATCATCCTCCCTTGCATAGAGGGTAGGCCCTGGAAACTTGCCATTGACAGTGACAATGGGTTTTGTTGCACAAAGTCTCGTTGTGTTCTTCAAGACCACCTGCATAGAGTAGCAGGTAAATTGTACAGATCTCAATTCCAATACCTACTAATAGATCATTGAAAACCTTCTTCATTATGCCATTAAAAACTTTTAAGTGCCTTGACCAAATTGTTCAAGGTATTGAAGGATGTACTTACATTGAACTTGTAGTGACGAACCAAGGACTCTGCCAATGCAGGAAAGAGAAAAGCTACCAAGACCACCACTGCCCGGACCACCAAAATCATCTTTTCTCTCTCTCTCTCTCTCTCTGAATTCCTATTCTCACTGGTTTTTGGTACGCATTGTGTATGCTTGACCACTGCAAAAATATAAAGGCCCAAGTATTTGATGCTATGTCATTGTACCTGGTTAGGTGAGCATGCATTTAGAAAGTTTCCTTGCACATTACACAAAGTGGTTATCTGTCCACCACTGTGGTTTTGGAAGTAAGCTACTGAGCTTTTGTTGCCACTTTCAATTGACTGCAACTGATGTGAGAAATTCAGGCTGCTTGAAACATAAGTTGAAGCTGCACCTCTCGCTATTTGTCGATACAGCACATAAAACAAGAGGAACAGAATNTAAGTGCCTTGACCAAATTGTTCAAGGTATTGAAGGATGTACTTACATTGAACTTGTAGTGACGAACCAAGGACTCAGCCAATGCAGGAAAGAGAAAAGCTACCAAGACCACCACTGCCCGGACCACCAAAATCATCTTTTCTCTCTCTCTCTCTCTCTCTCTGAATTCCTATTCTCACTGGTTTTTGGTACGCATTGTGTATGCTTGACCACTGCAAAAATATAAAGGCCCAAGTATTTGATGCTATGTCATTGTACCTGGTTAGGTGAGCATGCATTTAGAAAGTTTCCTTGCACATTACACAAAGTGGTTATCTGTCCACCACTGTGGTTTTGGAAGTAAGCTACTGAGCTTTTGTTGCCACTTTCAATTGACTGCAACTGATGTGAGAAATTCAGGCTGCTTGAAACATAAGTTGAAGCTGCACCTCTCGCTATTTGTCGATACAGCACATAAAACAAGAGGAACAGAATGGTTGGTTACTTTTAGTCTAGCAATACTCTTCCAGAAGAGTATACTTGTATAGGAGATAATGATTTGTGGGATGAGAGTCCACTAGTATATGAATTCTCGATGAGAAAAATGATATTAGTTGAGAAATGATTTTCACAGATATGAAAATCATGGTCTAATGTTTGCCTCCTTGCCTTAAAAAACAATTAGATGAGGAATTAGATGGGGTTTTGAAGTTACAGCTCATCTCCCCTGTCAATTTTGTGTAGCACCTAAAAATCACATGTCTTCTCTCTCTGACCCTCCCCCTTTTGTTAACTCAAAGGTATGTGGATTTGTGTGTTAAGTCAGGAAGANGACTCGAGTTTTTATTTAAACCTGCACGTCAATAAATTTAACAAAATGAGATGAACCAAGCATAGAAAAAAAAATTAACGAGCCGAGTTTGAATAGATGTTTAAACTTTAAAGCTCATCACGGTCTCAAATTGATTCTATACATTATTTATAAACGAGCTAAGCTTGAACAGTCCGATGNGATGGGGTTTTGAAGTTACAGCTCATCTCCCCTGTCAATTTTGTGTAGCACCTAAAAATCACATGTCTTCTCTCTCTAACCCTCCCCCTTTTGTTAACTCAAAGGTATGTGGATTTGTGTGTTAAGTCAGGAAGATCCCTGTTTTGCTAACCAAAGCCTTTATGTAGATTTGAGTGGATTGGAATATCCCAGAGATATGTGTTCTATGTAGCAGTTACTGAAGAATAGTTCCTTGCTTATTGTACACATTTGCTAAATACTTTTTGGGTATTTGGCTTTTTCCGGATATTTTAGGTCTCATTTGGAGTATTTCAATGGAATTCCCTTACTTATGCCATGTTACATAGCTAATATATGTTTCCGGACCAATGGCTTAGACCAGCCTGTGGTGCCTTAAGGCATCCTGCACTGAAGTCCCTTTGTGGGATGACGGTCATTAATCCGTCACATGATTATGCAAACAAAAGTTTAGTCCAGTGCACAAACCTCCCACCACCGTGGGTTGTGGATATTTGCAAAAGTAAATACTGATATTGCAAATTATGTTTGTGTGCTTTCCTGCACACACTTTTTAGCTGCAGCTTTTATGGCACCCTCGATCCTATTGATACAAGATTTATATAGAAATCCTAGATAATCTATTATGTTGTCCTCATACACGCCTTCTAGAGGATTTATCTCAAATGACCAATCAACTAGCGTCGAATCATCCTCATAATCTATAAGCTTCAGTGAATTTACAGAGCCATCTAAACCTATATTGCTTGCCTCCATTCTGTAAACGTAACTATGTGATGATGGTTCCATTGAAACTAGCCTTTCCTTGATCCATGACCTATCTCCATCTGGTTGTGGGAACATGAAGCCAGAAACTAGTCGAACATAGCCAGGCAAACCTTCTTCTCCGGCCAAATCAGTGCATCTTTCGACCATTGGCATCCATTCAGATAATCTACTAGTCTGAGACACCATAGTCCACACTTCGTCTATGGGTGCATCAACAATGCCTCCGACTGATCCCCGCCATTTCCTGCTTCCTATATTATTTTCCTGCAGAAAAGCCAGAAATTCAGAACTCGAGCGCACTTGAGCAGATTTGATTAGAATGATCAGAGATTTACAAGCACAAAATTTACTAGAGCAGACTTTTCTCTCTAACAAGTTGCCCATTTTGCCACACTTTGTGTAGCCTAATTCAACCTAACACCAGCTCTTAGAATTGTTGTACTATATTATAAAAAAGCTACGACATTTAGTAAATTTTCAATCAGCCATATGCTGGTGGAACTAGTATTAGTATGTTAGACAATGTGAGTTAGTAGATTGAAAAGAATCAGGCTCTGACATGAAATTGTTCAGAGTGGAAAAGCTTCAGATCACTATAAAAAAGTACAAAAAAATACCATAAAACTGTACAGTGTGTGGGAATAATTACAGAAATGAAAAATCCATACCATGTTTTTCTGTCTTGTTTGATGATTGTAGTTCCCTACCAAACAAAATCAATGTAGTCCTTCAGCTCACAATATAAACTTTCAGGGTTTTTTCGTTCGAGCAGAATGATGATAAATCCACTTGCCTTTTGCTCCTAATATGGTACTCACAATTTCAACCAGGGTTTTGCTCTAGCAAGCCTGAATGTCACTTATAAAAGATGATAGCCTTGTTATGGTGTAGGTATCCTATTTTCAATGCAACTTTTGGCATGTTTACGGAAAGACAAAGGAATTGGAGATTACAAGACGATAACCCCAAGGGTTACCCTCTTAGTTATTTACACTGTTTCAAACAGAATATTTGTGTTTTGTCTTCATTTTGAGAGGTGTCAAGATATAGAGATGATCGAAGTGTTGGCCAGTGGATTTCTTACCTCCTTCTGTGTCATCAAACAACAATCTTCTATATATTCGCCACGGGATTCCCTCCAACCAATACAAACTTTTTACCTTTGGTCAGCAATTTAGGGCCATCTCAAGCTGTACTTTGTACTTCTCTTAGTTTATGGCATAGTACAGCCACAATTGCGATTGGTGAAAGAGTATTTAAGATCTTTAGCTCCTTAAGCAAAGTATTACAAATGGTGTATGGAAATTCTTATACTCTCCTGGCCAAAACTGTGGTCATATTAGCAATCTTGCATTGAATAATGATAAAAAGTGCATTAAACCCATTAAACCTTTGTCACAATCACGAAACATAAAATCTTATCACACCGATGGAACTTCATTGTATTCAACAACAGCACAGAACAAGAAATGACTAGGAAAGTTACCGAAACTGCTTGATATCTCCATCTAAAGCCAAATGTAACCTTATAAATGTAGCCTAGCTGTCCCCATAATCTAAATGAATAATATCATACAACCCTGTGTACAAAGCGCATTGATTTCGTTCTAGAAAGAGGGAAAATACAGGAATACAAAGCTACAAATCTTAAGCAGCAGCTTCAACTGGCACAGAGGCCATGTGCCTGGAGGCCATATAGTGTTGCTTCAAATTGAATATTCTTGTTCTTGGATCCATAAGCAACTTGAGTCCTATCATTCAGATTATTGATCATCTTGTCTAGCACAGACTGCTTGCCATCACTACTGTAGCCTCGGGCTTTGCGTTTCAAAAAATAGTATTTGAAAATAATTTTTTAAAAGTGTTTTAAGAAAGTGATTTTGATATTTTTTGAAATAAAAAATTTATTTGGTTAGATGATTTTAAAAACAATTTTACAATATAGAAAATAGTAAAATATGTTTGGACAGCCTAAATATATATTTGAATAATAATTCAAACATTAATAAAAAAATATATAAAAGTTATTTTTGAATTGATAATTTCATATATATATATATATATATATATATATATATGAAGATCCAAAATTGTTCACATTGTTTCCAAAATTTTCAAAGAAAACACTAAAAACAAGTTACACTTGTTTTCTGTTTCTTTGATTCAAATCTCATTTTTTCCCAAAATTTAGAGAACAAAAATGTTAAACAAACAGATTTTCGGTATTTTTAAAATTTGGAGAACAAAAAACTATTTCCAGATCACAAACCAAACATGACCGAAATCTCTTATGAGTTTCATCAGGAACCCCAAAGGAGCCACCTCAAATAATAGTCTTAGTGTGGCTTTAGAAGATGGGGAAATCACATTTATGAAGATACCTTTCTCCCTGACAAATTTTTTTTTTTCTTTCTCCTTGACAATGATCTGCATATTTCAGAAAAAAAAAAAAAAAAAGAAGGGAATTTTCTAGAATGTCAAGCTCAAAATTGTTGATTTTAATGTGGCTGTCTGCCTCAGCAAACTCATTTGTGTTATTAAAGTGAAAATATGTTACAATAACCACAGAATAGATGCAAAGACCTGGTTGACATCTGGCACCATTCCTCCAGTGTATCCAAGACCTATTTCTCTCTTACATAGTAGTTGATTGGCTGTTGTTGACAACAACAACCAAAAAAAAAAGATTTGAATTTGTTTTTTTAGTTTAATAGTTGCAGAAACAAAAGGAATATGTGAAAAACAATTACTACTGAATACAAAGTTGAGAGCAAGTGAAACCTTGTCATATTCGGGGTTGTCAAATGTGGCTCTCAAATTTCCCGAGTGAAAGAAAAACCCTGTTTAGGTCGCCCCTATCTTCTCATTCACCCGACATCCTTTTCTTAACAAAAAAGAAATTGGAGCCGGTTTCAGTCAATTACATACCTCTAGCCATTCTCTACCAACTTCTTTCATCGCTGAGAATTCCATATGAAAATAGCTTTCCTTCTCCAATTTCGGTTGCCTTCGACATGTTGCCATTTTCCTAATAACAAAAGGAACATTTAATAAGAAAGAGATACATCAATATTCACTTCTGAACATGATAGAATCCTTCCCTGAATATGACAGTGTCCTTCCCTGCATAGAGACTGAAAATAGAGTAGCCCATTTTGTGGCTGTTAAATCTAGCAATGTTGTGTGAGTACCTTCATCTAGAAGGAGAAACTCATGGGTGCCAGGGATATCTTTGAGAGCAAGAACATATGTTGCTCGCAGTCCATAAATCACCATTGCTGGCGCGACTTGGTCTCTTCTTGTTACTCCAGTTAGCTTTTCTCCCAGCCACACCCCAAAGATGGTGCCCACTGTAAAATTTGTATCAACGATACTGGAGCCATCAATTGGATCAAAGGCAACGCTGAATCCTCCTATGCACATTCAATAATCAAAAAGGTTCATGAGCATCTTTCAGATATCTTTCTCAAAGAGGTAAATACCCAACCACAAGTATCGCAAAATGCAAACTTTCAGCCGGGCCTCCCATACCTTAGAGTTCTGGTACTTCCTCAGAGCAAGCATATTTGCAGAAAGAGTAAGTCAATGCCTAAGCAGAATTCAAAATCAAATTCAGTAAGAAAAAATGAACATTCTTGTCATACTTTTGGATTCTTATTTTTTGTTTAGCTTCAAGAGGTAATTTGTATACTTGTTGTATAAAGACAGAGGAAGAAGTCAAATATGATCACCTTAAAACTTAAACATTTATGCACAGTAAAAGTAAGTTATAGGAACAGGGATCTCATAAAGGCTTAATGCTGCAGTTTTATAGATTTTAGCCAATATGTCACGGCTACAGATTGTAAAATGAAGTTTTTAAACCTGTTTGTTTATGGAAAATGTAAAAATGTTATCGTTGATATCATTGTAAGGATCCAATTTTGTGCTTCTTTAGCCCAACGCAGATTCGACATGAGCTATTGCCTATATGAATTCATTGATCTACACAAGAACTACTCCGTGATGCTCTTAATAGCACCAAATAAGTACTTAAATTAGCTGGTGTTATAGAAAGATAGATTCACAAGTTGAAGTCCTACATCAAATAGGAGCTTGTTAGCAAGCATATTAACTGCAAGCTGTTCATTTCCAAAAGAATTCACACAAGCTGTTCGCACTTTAAAGGCTATGGTTCTCAATGCCTCTCCCATACACATCATCAGCCTGATCAGTCAGTCCCTTATCTAGGGTCGCCTTTGTAAGAAACTCTTCCTGCAATTACGGATCCATCTCTATCACAGCCTCAGAATACTCCTCATGAACCTATTTTTCATACCTTCAATTCAAATCTTATGTTGCTTAGTGAAAACTGTAGCTATATATAGATTATTGTTCTAAAAGTAGACAGTATCTATAATAACTTACCAGGCTACCACCGATATCGCTCTTTGCCACCAGGGAAGAGTTCTTTGTCTTCAAGACCTTAATTGATGATTTGGGTAGGATATGCTAGGACTCCTCAAAAAGTGAGCTTGACTTTTTGAGCTTGATTTCAGACTCTACTACAATTCATACACCATTTTTGTAGTTATGCTTATTTGCTTGTTCATCAAATATCACATTGTACAGTTTTTGCTATACATACACACAAATAGATGGCTTTTATGCATAGTTAGCAGGTAATTGCGTGCATATGAGACTTGAGATTTGTGTTACATTTCCGACTCTTCAGAAAGAAAAAAAAAAAGAAAGTAATTCTAAGCATCATACATAGCTTGGAGCTAAATGATGGGGAAATGGTCCATGGATCAAGCTAATGCAGTTGAATGTTGAGAATAAACACTGGGCAGGATTGTCCCACGGGCGAAGCATGTGATGCCAGTCTATACAGTACCAAATATTTTATTTCCTGTAGACTTTTCCGTGTTTGAAATAGGATGGGTTTCGTACAATTAAAAGTGATGAGCCCGAATTTTATTGGGCCCAATTAAAATAAATCACGAAGTCCAAGTACTCAAGATCCAAGATAGAGCCCAAGTGAAGCTGGGTTGATCCGTCTAGAAGAAATTCAAGAAGACATCAAGAGGCGGACGTCTAAGTGGTCAACACCCAAAGCACCAAGAGCCAACGCCCATGGGTTGCCTCCCTATCCCTCTTCTCCACTCCAATGCAAGTTCCAACCCACACCACTCCAAGTCCAGGGTCAGAGTCAAGTCCAAGATCAAGATCAATCCAGTATCCCTCTCCGAATAAATAGGAGCACAAGGGAAAGAATCTCGGGATGGAGATTGAGTCCTACTAAAATGGAACTTACCAAAGTAATAGAGACCTCCTTTCTCACGTCACCGCCTCACCACCTTGGTGAACCTATATAATGAAAGTCCCCTGTACATGGAAGGCAGACCTTCATCTCCTTGAGATCCCTACACATACTACACCTTCCTATACACATTGTTCTCTCTCTCTCCCAAAGCATTGTATTTCTCCTGGAGTGTTCTCCTGGTAACATTATTCATCAATAAAGATCTCCAGCTACCGCTGTTAGTCCAGATGCTGCCCAAGGGGAGAACCATTACCCAGAGAAGAAGTAGGAGGCAGACCCCCAGACTGGGCAGCCTTAGGCGTCACCCACCTGGCCCCTGGTGCCGCCCACTTTGCCAGGGGCGCCACCCACCATGCCATGGGCGTCGCCCAACCTACCTAGGGCCCCGTTTTCTCAACCCTCATCACACTCTCCTTGCTCTTCTCTCCAGATGTTACCTCCATCACCCACTACACCATCTTGGAAACTTTATGTAGATAGGTCCTCCACCAGCGAGGGTGGTGGAGCTGGACTAGCGTTGATCAATCCGCACGGCACTTCCTTGAAGTACGCTGTCTCCCTCCACTTCGCAACATCAAACAATCAAGCTGAGTATGAGGCTCTCGTATCCGGCTTGAGACTGGCATTGGAAATGGAGGCCCTTAACTTGACTGCCTATAGTGACTTGTAGCTCATAATCAACCAGGTGCAGGGAGATTTTGAAGCAAAGGAAGAAAGGATACAAGAGTACCTCTTGGTGGTCCAAGCCTTACTCGCAAAATTTGCCTGCTTCAAGATCCACCATGTACCTTGAGAAGAAAACGCTATGGCAGACGCCCTCGCCAAGTTTGTCTCAGCCAACATACTCATGGGATCAGTGTTGACAGACCACCAGTATGAACCCAGCACCTCCAAGACAGAGGAGGGTAATGTCCACTGCACATCCTCGGAGTCCAACTAGATGACTCTCATCCGAGCCTACTTAGAGGAGGGCACTCTCCCAGACAACCCAATGGAAGCTAGAAGGATGAGAATGAGAGCATCCAGGTATGTCATCCTACAAAACACCCTCTACAAGAAAAGTCTTTCTCTCCCACTGCTCCGTTGTCTCACCCCCTAAAAAGTTGACTACGTCATGAGGGAGATCTATGAGGGAATATGTGAAAATCATTCAGGACGGCGTGTGTTGGCCCACAAAGTAATCAGACATGGATATTATTGGCCCACCATAATCCAAGACACCCGAGACTTTGTCAAGAGATGTGACAAGTGTCAGCGCCTTGCGACTGTGCCCAAATAACCACCCGAGGAGCTCACCACCATCTAGAGCCCATGGTCTTTCTCCATGTGGGGGATTGACATCCTGGGTCCCCTCCCAGTAAGTTGAGGCCAATGCAAATTCGTAGTCATAGTCATAGACTACTTCACTAAATGGGCAGAAGCCGAAGCCCTAGCCAGAATCACATACTAAAAAATAAAGGATTTCATATGGAAAAGTCTAGTCTGCCGCTTTGGAATACCACACGTCATTGTAAGCGACAACGCCAAGCAGTTTGATAACAGGCTCCTCAACAATTTCTGTGCGGACCTCCAAATCAAGCAGTCCCACTCAAGCCTTGCCCATACACAGGCAAATGGGAAAGCAGAGGTCATTGTCAGAACCATACTCCGAAACTTAAAAGTCGGACTAGAAGCCGCAAAAAGAAGATGGGTAGCTGAACTTCCAGGAGTGCTATCAACCTATCGGATGACACCAAAAGGTCCTACGTGCGAGACCCATTCTCCCTATCCTATAGGACAAAGGCGGTGAAACCCGTTGAAATCGAGGTACACTGTAATACCCAATACAGGTATGTGTTGGATTTTTTTTTAATAAATAAATAAAAATAAAGGAAGTTATTTAGGAAATTTAAAATTGGTTGTACGTTAATATGTTATGATTAAACTAAAATTTTAAGAAATTAGAGGGACTTAAGTGACATTAAAGGAAGATAATGATCGTGTCATATAAATAGATTGACTGCACTAGTTGCCTCATATATTATCAGTGTTTGGGCTGGAAGGAACAGACGGCTGAGAGAAAAAAAGAGAGAGCTAGAGAGAAAGTAAAAGGAAGAACAAAAAGAAAGAAAAAAAAAAGAGAAGTGGACTCATCAAAGGTATGAATTCATTAATTATTGGTAGGGTTGTAAGTTATTCAATTATATAGTATTAAGATTACCATAAATAGTGATAAGGAATATTGTTATATATATATATATGTGTGTGTGTGTGTGTGTGTGTGTATATATATGTGTTCATGGTGAAGGATAATGAGGTATATATAAATGGGTTTTATTGGAAGGTATAAAGAATTGATTTTACATAGTATAGATTTATGGTTTTTGAGGCCTTTAAAGAATTGATTTAATGTCTAACAAAGCAAAAGACAACAAAGAAGTAAGAACTCGATCAAGGTTGAAGAAGATAAAGTTTTGGAAATTATGAAAACTCCCCCTTAGTTTGAAGTAATTTTATTTTGATCCCTATACTTTGATAAACTCAATTTTTGACTACTATGGAACTTGATAATTTATAAAAATGACCCAGTATGTTTGAAACAAATATGGTTATGTCAAAACAGCCCCCGAGTCTTGAAAAATTTCTGAAATTTTGAAACGACCCCTAAAAATTTCGATTAAGTGTTTAAATATTAATAGTTACCCTAATAAATCAAATTGAGGTGGTATTATTGGAAAATGGTTCTCTAAAACCTTAAATACTATTCTGAAAAATTTATGGCAGGCCCGAAAACAGAAAATTCGTTTTTAAGAAAATTATACTTTGACCCTAAAAGTTTTAAAAATTATGATTTGACCCCAGAACTTTAGAAACTTTTTTCCAAACAGTCCAGAATACTTCTATACATTGTTACCTCATATTAGAAAGGATATTTATATGTAAAATATATATTGAGTATATATTAATGAGTAGGAAGTATAAAAATTAAATATAGAATCACGAAACGACGAAGTAAGGAAAAAAAGATTGATTATTATATGTTATTTTGAATTAGGTGGTGATTGCATTGAGGTTGGAAAAGAGTGTTTTGAATTAGATTTTAGAAATTAAGGTGAGTAGTTTATTACTTCTTTTGTGAGGATTTTCTATATTAAACTTGTAAGTGCGTGTGTGTGAATTTTTCATATATATGATATATGTTGATGTTTGAGGTTGCAATTAAATATTTTTACAATTGTGAATTGTTACACATGTGAATTTGCAAAACTTATGAGATGAT